ACAGCAAGACCAGGGTTTACACAGGTCTGCATCAGACCCTCTGCATAGATACCATAGCTTTCAGTTTAGTACTTCTATGGGACTCTTGAATGTGTAAATGAGTGGATCTCGATTATTGTGCCTTTTTCTTGAGGCTGCTTTCATTTTCTGTTGGCTTGTGTTGTCTAACTTTAGTATGGTGGTTTTCATTTTATCTTATTATTTTATATAATGTTTTGTTGTTATCTCCTAGAAGCCTGTTCTTTTCTATTGAGAAAGGAGTAGATTCTGATGGAAAAGAGAATGGGGAAGAACTGAATGGAGTAGACAGAGAGTAATCTGTATTCAAAACATGTTTTATGAGAAAGGGATCTGTTTTATGAATGGGGGAAAGATTGAGTTCCAAAGACCTGTTCTTACTATGAACTGATGATTGCATGTCATCTAATTGGTTGGTCTCCAGATATGTTGTTTTATTCCTGCATACAACACATAGTCCAAATAAACTTAATAGTGCATTTTAATTGTCCTCTCAGTGAAAAAACTTCGATTAATATTGCCATTTTTGTGGCTAAGTCCTTTATCTGCCTTAGAATTTGCAGCAAAAGATACTCTTCTACCTTAATAAAAAAAATACCTGTTTTATTTATGATTACAAGTTTATGTAGATATGAGTTGGAATTGCTCATCTACCTACTTAACTCTGCTATAAATAAGAACTTCAAACACTAAAACTAATGCACAAATCATGCCATTTTGTTTCTAAAGTCTATATATTTTTCCTACCAATTATCTATTCTAATGATATCAGACCTATAGCTTAGTGATGTTAACCATGATAAAGACAAAAAAAATCCAGCCTATAACTGACTTCACGTGAAAATCTAAATACTACAGTTTCTAAGTTTGAGATTTCTAAATAGTGTCTTAAGGCTTTAGGGTAATTTTACCTATCATGAACTAAATTTTTACACAAATAACATTAATTTTTAATTTTAAATTATTTCTTTTAAGAAAATCAGTATAGTTTTTTTGTTTTGGTTTGATTTTTGGTTTTTTTGTGTTTTTTTTTTTTTTTTTTTTTTTTTTTTTTTTTTTTGCTTTTCATTTTATTCAGAATGTTTCTAATTTTATATTTTCCTAAAGATACCTCATGACTGTGTTGATCAACATGAACTCAGTCAAAACTACAGTGACATTAGAAGGGGGCCCTCAGTTGAGAATATGCTTCTACTATACTGGTCTATGGGAGAGCCTTTGGTAAATTTTCTTCCTTGATTGATTGATGACGCCCTTTTTTGGGGAGTCTTAGGTGGTATAAGAAAGAAAACAGAGCAATCCAGAAGGAGTAAGCAACACTTCTCAATGGCTTCTACTTTACTTCCCATCCTCTTTGAGTTCTTTCACAACTTCCTTCAGAGGGATGGACTGTGAACTGAAGCTGCGGGCTGATATTAATTCTTTCCTGCCCAAATTCCTTTCAGTTATGGTGTTTTATCACAGCAACAAAACGCCAATTAAGAGAGTCGTTATAACTAAAGTCACTGGGGAAGGGGCAAAGAAAGAGTGCAAAACTAATTTAAGACCATGGTAGGGCAAGAGATATAACTCAGTGATAAATCTCCTCCCAGGAACTTAAAAGGCCCTGAGTTTAATGTCCTCTCCTTCTCTCCCTATATCAATATCATATAAAAAAAAGAAGGAGACTTCTCAGTGGTTAAGTACACTTTTTTACAAGGGACCTGGACTTGATTTCCAGAATCCACATTGTAGCTCTCAACATCTGTAATCCCAAGTCCAAGGGGTTCTATGGCTTTATCTGACCTCCTCATACATCAGGCCATGTCACAGTGCACACACATACACATAGGCAAAACACCCATAAAAGGAAATAAATAAATTAGTAGGCAATATAGCTACATTGTCTCACAGTCCCATCTCTTGAGATAACCAATTTTGAAAGTTAGTTATCTGTCCTTTTATAAATTTACTACGACTTTAAATAGCTGTACATGGTTACATACATGTACATGTGTGCTTCTTGTTTTGCAACAAATTCTCATGTAGCCCATGCTGACATCCAGTTGCTACATAGCTAGGATAACAGTGAATTCCAATCCTCATGCCTAGCTTCCCAAGTGGGAGGACTGCAAAATGGTAGATGCCAACTGGCTGGCAAACAAGTTCAAAGTTAAAGTGTATTTTTACTATGTCTGGAAACTTTCCTTTATATCTGTGAAAATTAGGCATCAACTTGTCTGGCTCTGGGGTCATGAGGAGTACACCCCAGGCAGACATGAAGGGCATTTCTTGGATGAACTGAGAAGGGAAGACCCTTCCCCAGCACATGCAGCATCTGACTGCTGCTGCCTTGATAGAAGAGGTCTTCTGGGAGGAAATCGGTGTCAGTTTTGCCTGCTGGCCTTCCTCCTTGCTGATGAGTGCATCTACTCTGATTCTACCACTGCTGTTGCCCTTCACAGCAGGGCCCCAGCTTCTATTACTTCCAGTACAGACTGAAGATGTGGTTATAACTCTCTATATACACATACAGATCTATTTATTCACACACTCACTAAACCATTATTTTTATAATAATAATTCTACTGCCAATAATATTTATCTTCATTTTAGTGTAAAATAAAACTTTATAAATAACAAAATTATTAAACTAATAGTTTAAAAGTACTAAATGAACTGACAAGTATATACCCAGCAATAGAATTTCTATGCATTTAATACTACAATAACAAAGTAAAACTGTCCTGATCAGAAAAGAGGTCTATGCTAATTTAGATGAAAAAGACATGGTGTTAATCTGAGTTCCTTCAGATTAACAGAACTGAAAGAATGAATAAATATTGCAAGCATTATTACATTGGTTTATAAAATATGGTGTGGGTGGCTTGACATGACTGTCTGTAGAGTGGAGAGGCTAAGAAGCATGATAATGCTCCATTCACGAGGCCGGCTGCTCCCAGAAGGTCAGCCTGACACGAAGGTTGGGGGGGGGGGCTTGTGGTCCTGGAGATTGAAGCTGGGGTCTTACACATGCCTAAATTTATTTTGTTTTTTCCCTAAGCAGTCAAAGTTTCCATTGATTGATCCTTCTTCATAGCACTGAACCAAAAGCAAATGTGGCCATTCTTCCTGAATTGGCCCATAATAAAAATAAATTACAAATCTTGAATTTAGTTTTCAGTTTTTAGTTAAGTACTGGTAAATATTAGACAAAAGATTTATAATATTATGACAATTTTATCCAAACCATAGCTGAAGAATGACATTAAATAAATCTTATAAATAGTTCAGCACTGTAATTGTAATATGGCAGCTTAAGTGTGCTTCCTTTACATGTACACACAATAAAACATTTACTGTCGTCTTTTTTAAAAGTAATGAGTGGCAATCATTTTAATTAATCACATTGTGGCCTTTAAGAAGAACTTGGGGCCTAATTAGCTAGAGGTGTACTAGTATATTTTCAGCATAAATGTTCTGTGGGATGTTACAAACGGGTTATTCATTTTTGCTTCAAGCATACTTGTCATGTTCGAAGCCCCTGAGGGAGGAAATAGCATTTTCCTAGCAAGTCCTCTCACTGGTACTTAGTAATAGAGACTGACAGAGCTGTGTCTGCATTCACAAGTTAGTAAAGATTTTCACAACAAAGTGGAAATTCAGTTCTTATTCACCTGGAAAGCAGTGAGGATGTAGAAAATTATTAGAGACAGCATATTGGCTCATTTGAGTAGGACAGATAGGAATAGCTCTTGCTTGTGTCCTCTTATTTCAGACCAAAATTTGAAAAAGGATTGCTTGACAATCCCTTCCCTTCAGACCTAATTTTGACAGTTTTTTTTATAAGTATATTGAGTGGCTACATTTAACTGTGATCCATCTTCCTTCTATCAATTGAGTCAACACAGAGATGGCCACATAAATTACTTGGCAGTTCTTGCTCCCTGACGATCCTACTGTAGTCCATGGAATATGAGTTAACCCAAGAATCTTCTTTTCGTAGTCATCAGAGCTGTAATCCAGAAGAGGACCTCAGCTTGAGCAATATGGAGCTAAGACAGTGTGGGAATAGCAGGAATTTGTGTTGTGCTCCCAAAAGAAAACAGCAAGCTAGACAATTTCAACAGCTTTTGACCCTACTAGGCAAGAATCATCACTGATGCCTTGGTCAAAATAATTCCATATGAAATTGGAACTCTTGACATATTTTGTAGTAAGCTATCATCACTTAAGTTGAAGAACAATGGCTGAAGGTTTGGCTTGGTGGCCAAGGCCTTTCCTAGCAGGTGTCAGGCTCTGCTTTGATCTCTAGCACTGACTTAAAAATAAGAAATTAATATAATATAATTATTGCTGTATTATAAATGGCCATACCTGTGCTAATTCTTAAACTCAAAGTGTCTCAACTCAAGAACTCCCAAGAGAATGGCAAATACAGTTAGCCATGTCAATTGCCCTTACTTTTGATGAAAATGACATGACAAAAAGCTAAGAAACTGATGTATCTTTAATATCAGCAGACAGTAGGCTGAGGCAGAAGGATCATCTCGAGTTCAAGGCCAGCTTGTGGGCTACACTGCAAAAACACGGTCTCACACCAGATGAGCAAACCAGAGTGTAGGGAAGAAAAGCATTCTGGTAAGTACTATCCTTTATAGAGGTTCTTTTCGACACGAAGGCATGGGATTATATTCTTCTTTTCCAGTGGCACCAGAAAACTATACTCTCAACTACCTGGAACACTGTCTCTCTTAATTGATAAACATTTCCAAGTTGGCAGAATAAAGAGGGAAATATATTATGTCAGCCTGAACACTACACAAGACTACACAAAGCTCCCGTGAATTGGGTACATCACCCCATCTTTACATGGATGCACGATCCCTTGCTTAGCACAATGGGAATTGTGAACTGCCAAGCCAAGTGACTGCAATTATCAGGTAATCACTATCTGTAATGAAGATGTCCAGGCTTGTAAGTAATTTTCTTATTGAAAAATGTCATGTTTCATTAAATGCTCTTATCACAATGGTTGCCTTGTACCCAAGACGCCTAATAAGAGAACTGAGGCTCTGGCACCATCTGCAGGTCAAGTCTGCTAATTTCGCCTACATGTAGAAAGTACACAAGATTACAAAGGGGATTTAAATGAAGAATGACAGACAAGGCTGCCTTGCAAACACACACACACACACACACACACACACACACACACACACACACACACACACACACAGGAACACCACCTAATTTGCTCTTCTGTTTTTATCCTCTTGAAATATCTTGCACAACACTAAACAAAAGTTGTGGAGTCTATTAGACCATGTACTTAAGTCTACCTCAGTCTTGCAGCAGGGTTCTTCCTAATCATCAGCATCTGTCACCCATGAAGCTTCAAAGAGTTTTGGGGACTGGAGGAATCAAACTTAAGGAGTGGTCTTTTAGCATAACACTTATTCATTCATCTTTATATCAATATGGGAGTGGTCTTTTAGCATAACACTTATTCATGCATCTTTATATCAATATGGCTATAAAACATAATTTTGTTTGATTTTGCTTCTGGGGGATTAAAGACACAGCATCCCAAATGCTAAGTATGTACACTCCCTTTGAACCCCATGCAGGTTAATTTTTAATATTTTTAAATGGAAAAAGAATGTGACAACAGATGGGCTTAAGGCCCATTAAAGCCACACAGGTCTCCCAGTTCAATAACTAAATGCTGAGAAACTACACATGAAATCTCATGGTTCTATCAAATGAACACCCAGCTACATAAAACAGCTCAGGGCACACTCAGTTCTCCAGATTTTCTCCTTACATGTAAGCTCTTGTTAGCTTTTTCTGTCATCTAGTTACTAAGAATTGTTGTGGGATGATCTTTTTGAACATTTTGAAGATGAATCTCTACCTAAGGTGCCTTCTGATTGGTTTAGGCAAGATTTCCAGGAAGAGAGAGGACTCTGGGAAGAAGAGAGACAGAGAGATGCCAGCAAGATGCGGGACGGGTAGAGCCTACAGAGTAGGAGAAAGGTAAAAGCCACATGGCAGAATGTGGATTAATAAAACCAGGTTAATTTAAGTAATAAGAGCTAGTTGGGAACAAGCCTAAGTTAGAGGTCAATTAATAATAAGTTTCTGAGGCACTATTTGGGAGCTGGCAGTTGACAAGAAAGACTAGCTACATTTAGTGTCCAATGTGTGGCATGTAAATTCACATAGGGCCTGAAAAAGGTGAGAACAAAAATGTTTCGAACACAGTATCAGTTGTGTGGCTTCCTGGTGACTGCCTGCCATCTCTAGAGTAGGCCATGTACTTCCAATGTACAGAGGCAGGGCTCCTTTGAGAGGCTCTGCTATGCAGTTGAGCAGGTGGTGTGCTGCTCAAACAAATGCCTGCCTAGTGCAGACACAACTTCTCAGAGCTAGGAAGGTTAGGAGCTGCTGGAATAGGTAGGCATGGCCTCTGCTGATGCCTGTGGACATGAGGCATGTGTAGAGCCAGCTGCCAGTGCCACATGCTGAGCTAAACGTATTAGGTACTAAAGAAAGAAGAAGAAGAAATGGGTGTAAGCAATCATAAAAATAGTTTTAAAACAGTAAAATCTTTAGAGAAAGAATAAAATAGTGTAAGTAAAATAAGCTACATAAGAATGGGAAATACATAGGGTGTCTGGATCTTGTATGAATACAAGTAGCCTATGTGATATAGTCTCACAGAATGCCTCTGTTATAGTTTCCTCAAAAATCTACCTACAGAACAGCTTCAAAGCTGCATTTTTCCATCACACCAAGACTATACAACAGCTAGCTCTCCTAGAACTTGATCATTATCCAAATTTTCTCAGAGTCTCCCAAAGATTCCATCACTAGAGAATGCAACATCCACATTCCCAAGAGTTGGATTTGATGGTTTGTTTTTGTTTTGTTTTGTTTGGTCATTTGATGGATTATGGATGTTTATCATCATTTAGAAGGGGGTGGTTTCAAGTTGTACTTGGTCATGATGAAGGAGGAAACTAATCAAGGGAGATTAGATTCAAGGCTCTCTTTCTAAAACAACTAAAAAAAATGGGGGTTATAAAAATGCTAGGTACTGTTTCTGGGAGGAGCAGCCTTTAATAGCTCAGGGATTGAGGGGAAAGTCAGAAAACTAATCACTCAACTTGACTTTTCTATCTGAGAGAGTAAAACATAACCCTCTGGGGCCAGCAATGGAAGCTAAAATTAACTTTCTGAGATCAGCAAGAAAGGAAACACACACACACACACACACACACACACACACACACACACACACACACTGCTACCTTTAGGCTCTCTCCATCATCTTCTCTCTCTCTCTCTCTCTCTCTCTCTCTCTCTCTCTCTCAGTTCTTTATCTCTTGCCTTGTCTCTATCCAAATGTATCCTTTCTGTATCTCTTGATGTCTTCCTTCTAACTAACTTTATTTCCCTTACAGCTTCTATACCCCAGCAAAATCTCTCAAGCAGTACAAAACTACAATGTGGTTACATTGTAGTTTTTAATTGAATTATTACAATGTATACAAGTAAAAACACATTTCATGTTTCATTTACATGACTAAACATTCTACATATTATAGATGAAAAGCTAATTACACAAAGAAGCCATATACATTCATACCCAAGCAACTTGTTAAAGATTAACAGTGTAAGTAAGCAAGATATTGTTCTTAGCCAGTTCTTTTGCTTGTAGACTGCATTTTGTGGTTACAAAGAAAGGACCAATCATTTATTACTCATTTTAAAAAGTAATCTTATGAGAAATCTAGGAAAAATCACAAATGTAAACATTTATTTATGAAAAAGAATCAGTCATCTCTATTTTAAATTATTAGGGTGTATACCCATTTGTCAACAGTTTTATATATACTAACAAAAAAGGCACATCGGCCATCACTAGCCTATTCTTAAGCCATTATTTAAAGCTTTGTGTTGACTATGATACACACAAAAATCTGTGAACATACCTCTCAACATTAAGATTGAAAGAAATTGAACTAACAGCTTCTGAGACACAATTGTTTTTATTAATTATTAACCTAAGCCACAGTGTGTATAGCTCCTCAAGAGAAACTAGCTTAATGACATTTTTCCTGTTCTAATTTTCTATCCTCTGCAAGCCCTGCTTTATTGGGGGTCAGGGCAACACCATATCTCACTTTTACCTATACTAATCTTCCCATGAATCTAGCCTCTACCATAATACCTTACTGTATTTATTAATGAACCTCAATCATCAAAATCTTACTTAAAGTAACACTATTATTACGGAAAACATTGTTACAGTTAAACAGCACATCTTGGAAGGAAATACTGTTCATAATAATCCACAGGCAAAAATGCCCCGTAGAATGGGATATTCCCACGAGATAATCACACGACCTTAAAGGCAATGGGAAATCTCCCCAGGCCCATTCACACAATGCCAGATACTGAAGAAAAATGGCAGTGGCTAACATGTAAAGGCCCAGCAGTAGCAAGAGATGTTCATGGATTGATGCCCTCAGAGCCTTGCCTACCCAAAACTAACCTATCAGAGGCTTTCTTCCTGATAGACTGACCTCCCAAAGTTCAATTGCTACCTGCTGCTTCTCTAACATAGTCACTGGCAGATAGGTCAAAAGGATAGATTATTGAACCTATATTTAAACTAAAAAGAAATTATTAATGTCAAATATTTTATATTGGTATGGATTTTTTATATTGACACAAATTTAAGGTTATTTTGCTATAGTGTATATATGTTTATACTCTTGTTTAAGATAGTATACCTATGCAGCTCATTTAAAAATGTAATATATAGTTCTAGTCTTTAAAAACTATTATTACAAACTAATAAGGATAATTAAGAAATATAGATTAGTAGTCAGTCACATATAACAATCAAATTTGTGGGCATGTTAGCTATGTTTTCAAGGTCAAACAGATATATTTTAGATGGGCAGATGGTCTTCAAACATTTCAGAGACCTGCAGAATATGGCATTTGAGATGTTTTAATACCATAAGGCTTTTCATGACACTGAGATATGTCTGCTCCTCTCAGCACTAATTTACTTAGAAAAAGGATGATGGACATCAATGAACCTCAGTATGGAGTTTGCTTTCATTATGGAAAAGTTAGCTACTAGGCAAGAAACTGCCTTTGCCTTGACTGCTGACAGTATGCTATCCAAATCTGACAAGCAGAACAACAAAGAAGGCAACTGCGGATCTTTGCCAATACAAAGTAAAACAGTGCTTTAAAAAAAAAAATTCTAGCTTCACTGAAAAGTCTGCCAGATATTCTAGGCTTATAGCCCAAAGATAGATGCCCCAGTGTTGTTGAGGAACCTTGGGTGACTGTTCAGGAAGCCAACTGTTTCTGTCATCCATACTTTTTGAAAGGTTGCTTGCTTTGCATTTCCTGTTTACTCAAGTTCTCAAGTCTCTGATGGGGATATATATATATATATATATATATATATATATATTATATATATATATATATATATATATATATATATATATATAAATATATATATATATATATATATATATAGTTTTACAGTTTTTCTTGTTACCAAATTAAAAAAAAACAACTTACATAAGAGATATAAAGTTTATAAGGTTTAGAATCATAAAAGCTTAAGTTGTTTACCTGAGAAAATATTTTAAGGTCTAAAAATATAATTTTAGGATGGTATTACAAGATATGATAGAAAGTGGTTAGTTTAGGTATAAAACTTTGGAGTCATCAAGATAGGATAGTTAATAATTTCTCCAAATTTGCTAAATGAAAATGGACTGAACATTGTGAATGTATTTCTAACTTGATAATTGTTCTTATTGAATATATTTTATTGTGTAGAGTTAAACTCTTTCCTTCTTTATTTAGACAAAAAGTAGGAAATATTTTGGGGTAATATTTTTATACATTTTAAAGATGTGTCTTTGCCTGAAGTGCCTTCTTATTGGTTTAATAAAAAGCTGAATGGCCAATAGGTAGGCAGGAAAGAATAGGCGGGATTTATGCAGAAATAGAGGAACTCTGGGAAGAAGAGAGAAGGAGAGATGCTAGCAAGATGCAGAAGATGGTTGTACAGAATGTCAGAGAGGTAAAAGCCACGTAGCAGAATTTAGAAGAATAGAAATGGGATAATTTAAGTTATAAGAGCTATTTGGGAAGAAGTCTAAGCTAAAGGCCAAGCTTTCATAATTAACAATAAGCCTCTGTGTCATTATTTGAGAGCTGGCTACTGACAAGAAAGACTAACCACAACAGATAGAGTCAGGATTTGGAGTTGATACTGAAGATTCCATCATAAAGCACCAACCTAGTGCTTTCTAGGAGCTTTGCCGTTGCTGATGAAGCCCTTGATAATCCTCAGTCTCTGGCACCAATTCACAGACACAGTGGGTTATTCTGAAGTACATATTACAATGTTGCCACAAGGTTTTCCATTATCCCAGCAACTCAATGTGTAAATATCAAACCACACTTCAAAGCCAAATTAAAATTACTGAAAGTTCTTATTTTGCTTTTCTCTAATACTGTCGATAGAACATTCCATATTTCATTAGTTTCTTTGGTATTTATAATATTTTTAAGCAATGTTCAGATAAACTTCAAAAATTATCTTCAACTTTATCTGAATCAAGTTCCATTTCTAATGATAGTACACGTTTCTCAATGATGTCTCATCTGAAAGAGAAAGAGAAAGTCAAGTTCCAGTAAACAGAAACTGTTTGACCTTTATTTGCTATTTATGTTCTCTTCCTCTGACATGGCCTACTTGCCCTTTCAGTTCTATTAGCAGCTACATGAGGCACCATTTTCATAAAATAGATTTAAACAAGAGCAGATGTGAAGGTAACTGACATATATAATGTGACCTGTTCTAAAAAAAAAAGTATTTCATTAAAATACCCAATGACCACCAATGCTGACTTTTAAATCATTTGGGAAGGACTACGTATTCAGAATATTTTACACGTTTCGCTCAAGTCTTATTCCACATCTGTTTCTTCCTCCACTATTCTTCTCTCATCTCTTCCAGGTAATACTCAACAGCATACTTATACAGGGCTTGTTCATATCTAACTAGCTCAGCCCTGAACAACTTTGCTTTCTGAATTTCACACCATGACTTTACCCTGTTACTGCTAGTTTTAGGACAGGGCCATTTCCTGGTTCCAGGAGGAAAGCATACAGAAATTGACTTTTCACCTAACACAGACTGATCCAGTTTCAAGATTCAAGAATTTTTTTTTTATCATTTTAAGGATTATAATATTTCAGCATGTTTAGATCTTCATGACCTCTGGGCTATTTCATTTTGACATAGTGTCTCAGTTCACTGTGCAGCTGAAGATGAAGTGGAGAGTATGATCATCCCACCCTCCGGTCTTGTATATTTACTCCTCTAGCCTTTTGAAGTACTAAGTAGCATATGATAGCATTTATATTAAAACCCATAGGGTAAGACATTTTTGAGGGGCTTGCTGAAGGTGTACACACATGTGTACTTGTGTGTCATCACCACACACCTCCAATATATATAGATATCAGAACCAAACTGGTTCTGGAACTAGAGTAGTAAATGAGCAGGTAAAGTGCAAGCTTTTACAGAAAACCATTGGAATAAATGTGTTACAGTGGCTGCCTTACAAGTCAGTGTGAGGCCAAGTCTCATATAACAAAAACCCTGTTGACGTCTTGGTTCTTTGGTTTCTGAAATATAAGTATCAGTGATTCTAGAATGCCTGGTTCCTAGTGATAGGCACATTTCTTTTCTGAAATGGGTTTTTATAAACAACAAAAAAGAAGGATTTTGTCAGGGAAAATGATGAGAACAGACTGGATTTTTGTGGCACATGGCCATTAGAAGTGTATAGGGCTGGACTTTAATCAATGAGGTAGCAACTCCTTAATTTGAAGTGGTGGGGATGTTGTAAGAGGTGAGGCTGTATTTTTAATATTCCATTTGACCAGAGCATGAATTACTTGTGTTCTGTCCTGATGTGGAGTAGCTGCCCTCTGTTGTCTTGGAATCCTGCATTTCGCTGTACAGTGGGACACAAACATTGCACTGTATTAGGTGAACGTAAGACATTTGTGTGACTGTAGAATGATATTTGTTTTGGCTTTAGAGGCAAATATTGAATCCCTGTATGCTCCACTTTGGAAATAAATGTTAACAGTAGTCAGTAGTTAGATACCAAGGAGAAGAAGACGCACAGGGGTGCCATATCTGTTTTTTTTTTTTTTTTTTTTTTTTTTTTGTACTATCAGGTACCTGTATCTTCCTTTCACATTTGACTCCAGAGTATCCAATTCGGCAAGAACATACACCAGGAAATGCACATCTTCCTCCATGAAGACACTTCTGAGGACAAATGGCTGCAATAGGAATTTTTTTTTTTAATTCACCATGTCTTGGAATAGAATCCAGCAACACACAGTATTCCACAAGCCTGCAGCTATTTTGTGATTGGAGCCTTTACTGTGATTCTTAAAGCCATTACTTCAATTCATACATTAATTGATATACCACACCGAGTTATGTATAATAAATAAAGTAAATTATAATTGGCCATAGGAAAGAAGTGCATGGAAACAAATGTGCAACTCAAATTTTCTGGTAGTTGCATTAGCATAGAAAAGAAGCTTGTGAATTTGTAGGTAACCAATCATCAATGGGCTGATCTAATCTATGTGTTCTCTTACATTAGAGCCCACACCCCCCAACTCAAGGGATACTTTATTAAAGCAAACTAAAATTGTATTAGTTATGTATTAAGCTATTTGAAATACATGTTGTTAACGGATTCCAAAGAGACTGTTGGTACTGGTATATTTATGAAGAAATTTATATCCTACTTTAGACACTGGCTAGTTGGAAACTCCCTGACTTCTTCCCTCCCTTGCTGTTATTTCTGAAGACAGACTCTTGCTATGGGTCCTCACTAGCTTTGTATTACCTATGTAGCTTGAGGTGGCTGTCTTCCCAGGACAGTCTTCCACGTGCTAGGAGTACAAGTTTGCACCACCACGCCCACCTCATTTAGTAACCTCTTAAATATATTTTCACTGTCCACATCAGACAGGTTTTTGTGGAAACATCTCTCAAGATAATCCTAAAAATACTTATAAGTATCTCAGTGTCTATTTGTGCATCATCATCATATAAAATGCTTATAATAAAATAATCACTTCCTTGTATGTAAAATGGTCACCAAAAAGTGATAGGTCATTGCATTAAATATAAATACCATGTAGTGGCATTACAAAATTTAATGTAATAGTAATGATGTTTTAAGGAAGGCAATATGTTTTTAAGTCATATCGAGTAAAAATGAGCACACCATAAAATTGTATATATGTAATTACTTTTCATGGGAGTCACACTGTTGTAGTAAGTAATTTTGAAAGTTTATATAATTCAAGAGTTAAGCTATGTTTTGATCAGGACTGCTGTATGTGGTTGGGTGGCAATGTAACACTCAAGGGGTCTATATATTATAAAATTGAATGGGCATTATCATCAGTTCTCAGAAGACAGCAGTAACATTTATGTTCAGTTAGCATTGTCAGTACATTAGGCAGTTTCTGGACAAAGCATTTTGAGGAAGATGGTTTGTTTATTGATTCACACAAAGGTCCTGCAGTGTGAAGAAACCATACTCCCAGCTTCACACTAGAGAATATGGGTCTACAGCTGTGGGAGAAGCTTCTAAAATCATGCAGGATCATGAGAAACAAAGCAGACAAAAGAGGGCAATGGAAGTGAATATGATCAGAAGACATTAGACACATATGTGGAAATGTCATAATGAAACCCATTATTTGTATGTTTAATATATTATTTGAAAACTTTAAAAGGAAATAAGGGAAACAAACCATCAAATGAACTTGTCACTTCTTTCAAATGGGTATAAAACTGAACAACATTTATTTTTTACCTCTAAATTTTAATTATATTTATCTTTATTTTGTACCTTTAAATATCTTTGTATCTTTAAATATCAATCTGACACAACCTAGGCCCACCTGGGAAGGAAGTTGTGATGAAGTTTTGCTAAGCTCAGGGTGTCCTATGGGCATCTCTGTGGGATATTATCTTGATTCGATATTAATTGATGTGGGAACGCCAAGCCTGGCTGAAAGTGAATTCCCAGGTTTATGTCCCTAATTTATAGGAGAATGAAGAAAACATCTAAGCGCTGGAGTATTGGCTTCTCTCTTCTCTTCACTGTGGATGTATATGAACTTTAAGCTCCTGCTACTGTGACCACCAGGTAACAATAAAATGTGATTTGTAATTTTTTAAGTTAAATGATTTCTTCCTTAAGTTGCTTTTTGTCAGGATATTTTATCAGAGTGACACAAATGGAATTCGCAGGGTATATATGGGCGATACACATGTATGGAAGTCAGAACACAACTTCTGGGGTTCTGTTCTCTTTAGAATTGGTGAGAAGCACCTTTACAAATTTGTGGACCCATCTTTTTTTATACAAAGGGATTAGTAACCTAACACTTTGTTTCTGCTGTGTGAGCTACAGATCAATTATTCCCATAGGTTCATACTCAGGCCATCAAGTAGAGAAAGGCTGCTTACGTTTCTCACACTGTACCCCTTCCCAGGTCGAAGGGCAATGACACATGCTGGGAGCTATGCATTCACCCCCATTTTTACACTTCTGAAGGCAGATTGCTGTAAACACAAAGATAAACAAATTGAAAAAATTTAACTGCTAGCCAAAATTTAACAAAAAACACACAAAAGTAATTTGAAGAAAGAGAGAAATCTGTAAGAATAAAAGCGCTGTCCTCAGCAGGGAATGATGGAGCACACCTATAATCCCTCCATTTTAGAGTCTAAGGCCGTAGGATCAGGAGTTAAGGTCCATCATCAGTTACATAGCAAGTGCAACGACAGCCTGGGTGATATGAGATCCTGCCCCAAATAAAATAAAATCAGAAAACGTTTTATTAATTAACCATATTCTTGAAAAAGCCTCACCAACATGTCTTTCTAAACAACAGCTGAACAAGGAAACAACAGACACGACAAACTGCATGGGGAAATGCCAGAGGTCTCAACTCTACATAAAGAATGACAGTCAATAAGGGATGCTGCGAGTGAGAGGAAAAGTTTTTCTGGAGAATAGCATACCAATTAATTATCAATACAAAAATGGCCATCCCTGAAAACATACAGAAAGGAAACATTATACAGACTGAACAGGTTGTATTTAGAAATCTATTTATCTACCTACATACCTACCTACCTACCTACCTACCTATCTATCTACCTACCTACCTATCTATCTACCTATCTATCTATCTACCTATCTACCTATCTATCTACCTATCTACCTATCGCTATCAATCAATTGATCTGTCTTACACACACACACACACACACACACACACACACACACACACACACACCGATACACTGATAAAAAGAGGTCATGAGTTTGAAAGAAAGCAAGGAGGAACATACATATGGGAGAGTCTGGAGGCAGAAAAAGAAAGAAATAAATGATGCGATTATATTGTAATCTCAAAAACGGGGGGAGGAGCGGTGGTGGAGGAAAAGAAAAAAAAACTGTGATTTTAATGATCTACAGAACACTGTGGTTCACCCCAATTTCTTCCCAATTGTTAGAGTTTTGCAGTAGTTTTTCATGTTAGACAATATAGTATAATAGCTGTCATTGCAAGAAATCATTTTAATTTAATGGGAGACAGAGTTTCAATATGTAGCCCTGCCTGGCCTGAAACTCACTATATAGACCAGCTTGAATTCAGAGATTTCCCTGCCTTTGTTCTTAATGTACCACCATACCCAGACTAAATAATTTTATACAAAGAAAAAAAATGAGTGAAGGGAGTCAGCACCATCTCTGCAGCTAATCTGCTGCTGGAATGGGTAGAACCCCCAACCCCCACTCCTGGAAAGGGGTGAACTGCTAACTTCAAGTGGAGCTAAGAAATCAGTGTGACTTTTTCACACCTTCCTCTCAACCTAACACCAGATGATGAGTCCAGACCTGGAGCTTATGCCAGGATATGTAGGTGCAAAACTGGGAAACACTGCACACTGTCTTCAGATGACTCAGTCTTTCACTATTTCAAAAGTATATCTCCTAAAGCATGAAGAGATTAGTGGAAATAAAAACAAACAAGTGAAAACAAAAAGACTGCCTTAAATTCTGCTGTGCAGCTTCACAAAGGTAGACCTCCACACTCTGAGAGTCATATTCATTGTTTCACTTACGCATGTTACACCATTTCCCAGTCCAACCAGAAGCACAGGAACAAATATTTGGTCCCACACATTTTCCTCCATTCATGCACATAGGTTCACAGATGCCTTAAGGTTAAAAGAAGAAGGAAAAAGATATGTCAAACAGCAAATATTCAGTTTTACCTGTAGTATGCAAATGTTTTCGTGGTGTCTTACTTTTTTGGCATCTCTTTCCGGTGTACCCACCACGACACGTGCACACATTATTTCTCATACAGTGGCCACCATTCTTACAGGGAGGGTGACAGACAGCTAAAAGAACAGATGACAGCAATGTGTGAACAGTACATATTCAATTATTATATATTGCACATCACCTCATAGGCTTGTTATCTATAGGGCCATAAGACAGAGGAATGCGCTATAAAAATAAAAGATCACAACTGCAAGCCATTGCAGCTGTCCTATCTAAATAATAAAATGCAGAACTCAGAGCCATCAGCCACTAGCAGGTTAACAACATTAAAATGCCTTAGCATTGGAGTCTTCACTATAATCCTGCATGCATTATGAAACTTAGCTTACATTTCACTTGCTTGCAAAGCAAATCGTGAAATGATTTGGACAGAACCAAGAGAGGAATCAAAGCTTAGCTCAAAGTTAGAATGTATTTCCTCTAGTACAAATTAGAATGACTCTCACCATTTGCTGCATTAATTCAGAAAGTCATTAGGAAATTCTCTAAAATGGCTTCAATCTTGTCAAGTCATGAGTCAAATTTATATGACTGGTTCCTGTGAATGCTGGGGAGAAATCTCTTAAACGGTAAGTCTTTTGCTTTGTTAGGATTATGTGTTAGCTGCTCAGTATACACTTTCCTGATATTGACCACAAAGAGTATTCATGGTAGGAAACAAACCTGAATGTTTGTCATTTTAATGGGATGATTGTTATTGCTTTGTGTTTCTACTATATATTAACATTTGATTGTATTTTATCTCTTATCCAGTGCTGAGGATTAAACCAGGACCCCAGTAACGCTAAGCAAGTGCTCTACCACCCAGCTACACTATAGACCTTAAATATTGGGTTTCCTTTTATTGTTTATTTGTTTTGTTTAATTGTACAAGGTAGCTTGCATGGAAAAATTTAAATTTAATTCCTCACTGGACACACTTCCTCCAACAAAGCCACACCACCTGATAATACCACTTCCTTTTGGGACCATTGTCTTCGAAACCACCACATTCTATTTCCTAGCCTCCATAGGCTTGTATTCATATCATAATGCAGAAATATATTCAGGGCAATTCTAAAAGTCTCCACAGTCTCTAAAGGTCTCAAACTTAGTGCAGTCTAAAGTTCAAAGTCTTTTCTGAGATGCATGTAATCTCTTACGTGTAATCCCCTGTAAAATCAAAACCAAAAAGCAGATCACATACTTGTAACATATAGTGGCACAGTATATGCATCACCTTTCCAAAAGAGGAAAAGGAGGATAGTGAGGAAACACTGGACCAAAGCAAGACTGAAAATAAACCAGGCAAACTCCAAGCTGCATTTCCACGTCTGATCTCAAAATATTCTTCAGATCTCCAACTCATTTCATCTTTTTTTGACTACAACACAAATCTCTCTCTTGTACTGGTCCCATTCCTTATTAGCAGCTCTCCTGGACAGGTCATCCACCACTCTGGCATCTCCCACATCTTGGGGCTTCAACTTCACAGCTTTTTCAAAAGCCTCTCTAGGGGACATCCCTGACACATGCTTTGTCTTGGCAGTTTACCTTAGTCATGAAGAACTATTACATGGCCCCTTTTTTCTATCCTTTATTCTAAAGCCAGAACCATGTGGCTGAAGCTGCCAAGTTCTGCTGCTCGCTAGGGTTGGAGCATGGCCCCCTCATTTAATTAAATCTTCACCAGCTTTCTATTTTCAGTGGTTTCCTTCACTGATTACACTTGCATGCCCTGGAAATTGATCTGTAGACCAGGCTGGTCTCAAACTCAGAGATCTGCCTGCCTCTGTCTCTGGAGTGCTGGGATTAAAAGAGCATGGCCACACTTGGTTCTAAACTGTTACTTAATTCCTTTTCAAAAGTTGGTAACATGGCTGGGTGAGCTTTAGCCTTGACATCACTGCTCACTTTATCATATTTTTTAATCTGTTTATCTCCTTGAACACAACTCTATTTCACTTCCTGATTCTCCCTTTCTCCATAAATTGTACATTTTGTATTTTTCCTTACTCATCTTGCTCCTTTTCATTATATATCTTCATTAGAGTTATCACTAATAACCACATGACACAGTCTACACTAGGTTGTTTTGAGATTTCCTCTGCCAACAGAATTAATCCAAATCTCTTCACTTTAGTGCCAGGCATACTTTTTGGACAAGGGCAAAAAGCAGCCTCATTCATTACCAAAATATCCCCAAAATGATCTTTAGGCAGCATCCTAAATTTCTTCTCCTTTGAAACCGCTTGAGCCCGGCCCCCACAGTTCATCAGAACACACTCTACTATGTTTCTACTAGTATGGTCCATTAAGCAGTGCTTAAAGAATCCCACTGCTTTCCTAATACAAACTTATAAATTCCAAGTTATTCCAAACAAAAGGCCTATCACAGTAACACACAAGTCCCTAGCATAATCTTCTACCTTACTTAGGGTTTGGTTTCTATTGCTTTGAAGAGACACTATGACCACAGCAATTATTTTAAAGGAAAACATTTAATTGGGCCAAGCTCACAGTTCAGAGGTTTCATGCATTATCATCAGGGAGAATGGCAGACAGGAAGACATGGGGTCAGAGAAGGAGCTGAGAGTTCTACATGCTGATTCTCAGACAACAGAAAGTGAACTGTGACACTGGGCATGGCTTGAGCATATATGAGATCTCAAAGACCATCTCTGCAGTGACATGCTTCCTCCAAACAGGTCACACAAACTCCAATAAAGCCATACCTCCTAATACTGCCATTTCCAATGAGAGCCATTTTCATTGAAACTACCACACTGGATGATGGATTACAAAGGGAATTTTAGTTTGTTTTAAAAATGAATTTCAAATGAATGTGTAGACTGCCACTAGGTATTAGATCACCTTTGATAACAGCTTTCTTCATTTCCAACCCCTCTAAACATATAATTAACATTGCGATTTATAACTGAAAACAGCATTTTAAGTACAAAACATGCAACTAGACATTTTAATGAATAGACATCTTGTACTGCTTCAGGTTGACTCTCTTCTGGTTCATGCTTAGTCTACGTGTGTGTGTGTGTTTGTATGTATGTGTGTGTATCTGTGTGTGTGTGGGTGCATGTGTGTAGGTGTATGTATGTTTGTGCATGTATTTACATGTGTGTATAGGTGTGTGTGTGTCTGTGTGTGTGTATGTATGTATGTGTGTGTATAGATGTATATACTTGTGTATATAGATGTGTGTGTGTAGGTGTGTGTGTGTGCATGGATGTTGGTGTGCATGTGTGTAGGTGTGTGTATGTGTGTGTATGTTTTTACATGTGTGTATAGATGTGTGTATCTGTATATGTATATATGTATGTATGTGTTTAGATGTGTGTGTATACATGTATGTACTTGTGTATATAGATGTGTGTGTGTGTGTGTGTGTGTGTGTGTGTGTGTGTGTGTGTGTGTGATGTATGTATCCTAAGGGACATGAAGATCAGAGAAAACATATTTCTGGAGGCAGTTCTCTCCTTCCTTTGTTTAGATTCTGCATATTGAACTCTGTTATGAGACTAGGTAGCAAACACCTGCACCCTCAGATCCATCTCATAAGTCCTACTGATACAGTTTTTTCTAAATATGTATCTAACATAGTTTATTAGTCAGGGAAAAGGAAATTGTAAGGTGTATTTGTACATCTGTGGTGGTTTGAATAAGATGGTTCACAGAGGCTCATATATTTGAATAATTCACCACCAGGGACTGGAACTCTTGATGGGATTAGAAAGATTAGGAGGTGGGGCCTTGTTGAAAGAAGTATTTCACTGGGGTGGTGTAGTGAGGTAGTCCTTCTGTAGCACTGACCACGCCCATTGGGGGTGGAGCTATGGGCGGAGGTGACCTGAGGAAGGAGGTCTGAGGGGGCCAGGAAGGCGCTCTCTTTCTGGCGTGACTCGGACAGGAGAGGATCGGGTTGAATTTCCTGGTGTTCATCTGTCTAGGTTGTAAGTTATTTCTCCCTGAATAAACATCTATTCGGCTTATTTGTTTATCCTGATCCTTATTTACCGCAATATCTGGTGTCAGAAGTGTATATAGAAATCTATTTCTCTCTATTATCTAGTATTCCTGAAGTCCCAAATTTTGTAAACCAATGCTGGCTTTGGAGTTGGATTTGGCTTTCCTTCTCTAAATTCAAGCATGTTGTTAAGATTAAATTCATGGTTTCTGCCTTAAATCAAGAAGCCAATTGGTGTAAGGCAGAAGAAACAAAATCTGGGGACTCATATCTTATGCAATTTTCTCTCTGAAATCCTAATTTTCTCACATACTTTTAATGCTTATTGTTGTCTTTCCCTAATGCATACCTTAAAACTTGAAAATTTTACTTTAATATTGATGTGTAACTTTTCCACAAGGAATAATAACGATTCCTAACAGCAGTCTTTGAACTTTCCGGAAAGAAGATGGGGCCCCACATCATCATTTCCACTTGACTCAACCTGATGCATCGGAACTACAAACATCACCCTAAAACCGGTTTGAGACTGTTTTGCTCGAGACAACTCATGACTAGCTAGATGTAATGGTGCACCTTTTTATTACACCCTGGCCAGTTTCAAATAGAACTACAGTCAAGAATTTTCTGCCACACAGTGACTAACTACATATGTCACAGCCAGTTCTGTTGAGAAATTTGGTTGCTAAAAATTTTCTTCCTACAGGATCCATTGGAGCAATCATCGTCCCATTTCAGCAGGAAGTAATCTTAATATGACTACGCCCCCTTTCCCTACCCTTGGAAATTTGGGATAATAGTCATCGTCTTTGGGTTGGTTTTAGTTATTTGGGATTGGGTGATGCTTACACTCGGGTTTATCTTTTAGACAGGAATAGGGAATGGTGGGTAAAGGTATGGTTTAGATGGGATATAAGTAGATTAGCCTATTTCCTTGAGAATTTGAGTATGAATGAGATAGTATTTTACAGCTTACATTGTTATGTATTCCTATGTGGTAAGCTATGTAAAATTAAGTTTATATTTTGTTATATTGTGTTAAATGTTTCCACTTATAATATTTATGCACATTATTTTTTTACCATATTCTATGTATGTATACTTTTCTTGTGTTCAAGACATTTTGTATATTGATACAATTTGGGATATTTATCTTGCTGCCCTTTATAGTTCTACCTCTTGTCTTGACACTTATACTCTACCTCTATTTTAGGGATTTACATGTAGGTATATGTAAATAGTTATATTGTTTAAGTATTTGTTCCTGCTTTACTCAGGAAAGTTTTAATCAGTCTTTTTAGCTAAGTTCCCGAGTATTACAGATTATCTTCACTCACATTTCCTGTACCTATGAGATTAGTCAGATATAGATGCTTAATCTTCAATCCTTCATAGACATGCAGAACATGGCATTTAAATGTTTTAATATTAGTACTCCATTGACATGAGACACTGTTGCTCCTGACAGCACCGTGCATTTTCCCGAAAATATGTTGGACACTGTTGTTGCTCCTGCTGGAGTTCAATCTCGCCTCAGCTAATGGCCTGTTGGGCATAGAATTGCCCCCACCTTGACCACTGATTTGGACATGCAGTCCTATGTGCTTGCAGGAGACAAATATAGAAGACTGCTTGACCTTGCCAAGTCAGGGTAAGACAGCCATTCTATTTCCCTGCTGTTGTTGTGGTCTGTCAAGTTCTCTTGGCCTTAGCCAAATCTGGGTGTACCAACGTCGCTGTGAGACCTAGGGTGACTGTTCAGGTGGCTTGCTGTTTCTGTCCTTGCTGCACCGTTTTGGAAGTTGTTCATCCGCATTTCCTGTCTACTCTAGTATTGTTATTTTCCTTCTCAGGTCTTGATGAGGTTGAAGATTAAACTATCACAACTATTATTCTCTCTTCCTAGTTAGATATATTAGGTACTAGACTTACGTTTTCCAGCTTAGGACAACTCTATTGTAAACTCCATTATGCCCTCACCCTAGGACTAGATATGTAGGTCATTTTGTTCTCGATTTTCCTTTTCTTAGAGCACACTTGTTATTCACTGTTTTGTATATAGTTTTGTATTAAGCCTAAATCTTTTCTTTAGACTAAAAGGGGAATTGTAGTGAGGTAGTCCTTCTGTAGCACTGACCACGCCCATTGGGGGTGGAGCTATGGGCGGAGGTGACCTGAGGAAGGAGGTCTGAGGGGGCCAGGAAGGCGCTCTCTTTCTGGCGTGACTCGGACAGGAGAGGATCGGGTTGAATTTCCTGGTGTTCATCTGTCTAGGTTGTAAGTTATTTCTCCCTGAATAAACATCTATTCGGCTTATTTGTTTATCCTGATCCTTATTTACCGCAATAGGGTGGGCTTTGAGGTTTCAAAACCTCATGCTATCCCCCCTTCCCTCTCTCTCCCTGTGGATCAAGATGTAGCTCTTAACTCCTTCTTAAGTACCACGTCTGCCTATGAGCCCCCATACTCCATGCTATAATGATAATTGACTGACCTATGAATCTGTAAGCAAGCCCCAGTGAAATGCCTTCTTTCAAAAAGTTGGCTTGGTCATGGTGTCTCTTCACATCAATAGGTAAGTGACTAAGACAACATCTCTCAAGCCATACATTTGAAGCCAACTTAACTAAGAAAATATTTTTTTGTGATATTTGCAGCTTAATTTCTTTCTTTCTCTTTTGAAATTCTATAGTGTGTATGTCAATCATATTTATTTTTGACCATATTCTGTCTAATTCGATTCAATGGCCCTCATTGTGTTAGCTATGTTCCCACCCACCCACATGACCAGTCTCATGAGGGGATGCAATCACATTACATCAAGCATGACAGCCATGAAATCTGAGCCCTAACAGGGGACCTACAGATTTTCAAGGTTCTAACCTGCTCTGCTGAAACTAACTACTTCCAAAACTGATTTCAGTTCACACCAAGTTATTTCCCAGTTCCTTAAAACGAGGCACATGTTAGTTGTGTTCAACTTGATAGATTAGAGATCATCTCCTTTACTCAGTAGTAGTACTCATTATGGGGAGGGGTATTTTTCTTACAGCCCTACCCTGTTGCACGTTACTTCTTGGTACTGTGATCTTGTCCCTTCCCCTTTATTTCCTCTGCTCAAAAGTACACTTATAGCTCTTTAGTGTATATTCCATCATAATCCCTTAGTATCCAACATTTATCTTAACTTACTCCTCTTGCTAGTTCACAAACTGGTTCCTCCGAGGAAATCTGAATAAAAGGAACACTTTCCATATGCCCATCTCTCTAGCATTTAAGTAATATTTTCTTCTTTGTTCCAGTTTTATCCTATGGACCTGCGTCAACTACCCAACAAAAGAGAGGTGATTATAAAGCATACCATATAGCATAATGTCATTAGGAATCGTTTTATTGCAGCATTCCTTTAGCAGAACAGTAGGATTCGTTTTTTCTCCTAGGTCGCTGACCTATCTCATCTCCAATTCCTGACCACCCAAGCAGTACCACGGTTCTTCTATACTCATGGTTCCCTGTCTTACTTAACCATTATCAGATAGTCCTCCTGCAGTAGATGGGAACAAGCACAGAGACCCACAGCTTGACAATGGGCAAAGAAATCTTGGAACACTCTGTTTTAATTTGATATTTCACAAATCTCTCTACTCAGGGCTCAGAGAACCCATCAGAAAGGAGACAGAAAGTTCGTAAGAGCAAGAGGGGATAAAGAACATCAAGGAAATAAGGGCTTCTAAATATAGTATGACCGATGCATATATAAACTCAAAGAAATCATAGCAGCATGCACAGGGTCTGCAAAGGTCTAATACAGATGGAGCCCTTGATTTTAGAAGGGAAGTAGACACATACCCCCATTCCTAACCCAGAAGCTATCTCCAAATGATAACAGCCTGCAAAGGGAAAATTAGTGAGACTTGTGTGTGTGTGTGTGTGTGTGTGTGTGTGTGTGTGTGTGTGTGTGTTGTTTTCTGTTTTGTGGAGTCTCACTGGGTATACAAACTGTTCTTAAGAGCAGGCCCAATGCCCAGCAGTAGATGGCTGACATAAAATTAACTCAAAGGCATATTTGGAGGTTTTGGAGGTTCTTTGTCACCCAGTATTTCATCAGGGCATTTTGTTTTCTTTCTTTTCTTTTATGGGATTTTTGTGTGTGTCTGCATCTGTATGTATTTCTTGTGCTTTTTGTTTGTCTGTTTTTGTTTTTTGTCATATTCAGGTATATTTTTATTTTAATGTTTTATATACCTGTTGTTTGTTTTCTAATAAGAGAAAGAAGTAGTGTAGATTTGGATGGGAGGGGAAGTCGAGAGGACCAAGGAGGAGATAAGGGAAAACAAACTAAAATCAGAATATATTTGTGAAAAATTATTTTCTACAAAATAAATCAAATTGTATCACATAGAAGTATTAATCTTATAAATTTAATTATAGAGATATTCAAACATGTTATAAGATAAATTTGGCATAATTTTAAGAATAAAAATACAGGAAATATTTTGTGCATTTAATTTACTGATATTTGTTCCTAGTTTCTATCTATATAAGCACATGAGTGAGACACCTTTATTAGTCTAGAGAGAGAGAGGAATCTCTAAGGCAGTAGATCTCAACCTCTGGATCATGAACCTCTTTGGTGTCAAATGACCATTTTATAAGGGTAGTATATCAGATATTTACATTATAATCCAAAATTATAGTTATGAAATAGCAAGAAAAATTATTTTATGGTTAGGGGATCATTACAACATAAGGAACTGTACTAAAGGGTTCCAGCATTAGGAAGGCTGAGAAATACTACTCCGTAGGGTTAAAACATGGGGAAAGGTGCAGAAAAGGAAAATGACTCTTTTATCTCCACATCATCTTGCATAGAATTCTACACAGATGCACTTCACAAGTGTTTATAATGAAATTAAAGTCAAGAAAGATCATAGGAAAACATCAGACATTAGATAAAACATCTCAAAAATTATTGAATTGAGTGCAATAGAAAGCCCATCATTCATTAAAAACTGGACTAGCATCTTGGCTTGACAAAACTTCACAGACAATACCCATGCTAATAACCTAATCAGAAACAAAGGGGCAACATGGTCTTTTCCCATCTGAAACTTGGCACATGTTTCTACAAGGCTCACTTTCCCATTTTGTATTCTTAGTTTTCCAGTGGCCTTTTTTACTGACGCAGAAATAATACTTACCATTCTGGCACTGTACACCAAAGAATCCATCAGGACAGAGGCAAGTGTTGGGCTTATAACAGGAACCACCATTGAGGCAAACAGGATCACACAGAGCTAATGAAATGAACAACAGGAAGAAAGGAGATCACAAAGTGCTGTTATTTTAAGACTGAATGTGGCACATATGTACAGAAGGAAGCACAGTGATATATATTTAACTACAAGTAAAAATACCCTATATTTTAGACTTCAAAAAACAAAAAGATGCAAAATAACTTTGTCATTGCTTTGAAGATATTTTCATTTGTTGTATTAATAATATTAATAATAAAGTAAGACTTTGGAGTGAGTGTAATTAAAATTCAGAATGCTTTCTGTAATGATCATGGACTCAGGTAGGGCAACTCAACAGCACTGACAGGTGGATAAAGCTATACATATACTTTTGTCCCTTTGTAAATAAATCATGACCACTTTACTCAAGCCCCTCCATGATCAAAATGTCTGATACTCCATCACCTTTGTTTTGCTTTTATTGTACTTCTAATTCCATTTTCAGCCTAGATTTTTATCTAGTCTCCCACGTATACTGTGGATAGTTTTCTTCCAAATTCAATTTGCTGAAATTAATTGATGTCTTCACGTCTTATGATGATGTCTTATTATTTCCTATCATAAACCAACTTGCTTCACAGTCTTATTTAAAAGAAATAATTGCCATTCCCTATGGAGGAATACTCTCAGCCTAGATACATGGGTCCTGCCCCAAATGATGTGACAGCCTTTGATGATTCCCTATCAGAGGCCTCACTCTCCCTGGGAAGTGAATAGGGGCCTGAATGGGGGAATGGTATGGGGAATCAGAGGGGGGTAGAAGGGAGAGGGAACTGGACTTGGAATGTAAAATAAGATTGTTTTTAATTTAAATAAAAAGTAATTGCATCCATTGTCTTTTTCACTAATGATATGAAACTTGAAATAAGGGCAAGCATTAAATTAATCTTTGTTTTCCTTTGCAACAGGCTTCATGTGTAACCAGCATACTCTAAATGGTGGGTTAAATTTTCACTGGAAAAAAAATCATTAGATCACCATAAATTAGAATAAACAGACCAACTGTGAATATTTCTGCATGTCTTCCACTGATAAGTGGATTGATTTGATAGCTGTGCTTAACATCTAGAATTGAGTAGATGTTTAATAAAGTAGGATGTCCTGATGGAAATGGAAATGGAAAAATTGCAACAAAGACAGGTGTTCTGAGTCCATATCAGGTAAGCAAATGATGGAAATACAAAGGAAAGACAGTACTGATTAGAAAACGTAACATGTAAAACAGGATATGGCTCCAGATAACAGGAAAACATGAAGATGAAAGACAAGGATTTTTAAAATGTATTATACATAACCACCTGATATCTTTCTTGTCAGCTCAGTTTTGTTTATTTTAGTGTGGCTCTCTGGGATATTTGAAGTTTCTTTTTGTTGATGCATTTATTGTGCACAGTTCTGATTTTTACCTGTACTACAGGTGGGTCCATTCCAGCCAGATTTGCACTGGCAAATATCTGGCGCAACACATTCGCCTCCATTTTCACAGTGCCTGTTACAGACCACTAAGATTACAGAAGAAAGACAAAAGAAAGTCAAATTTAGCTCGCAACTGCCAAATACTTCTAGAAATGAATTTGGCCACAGAAAAAGAGCAGGATGATGCATACTCTGACTTAGATGCACTCCAGTTCTCATGTTTGGCTATTTCCTTACGGAGATAGAGAACATAGAAGATTATTAGCACTGAATGAGAATTAGTTATTTAGGGAAAGTGTTGGAAACTGGTGAACATAATTAAAGATAAATCAAATAAACATATGCAAATTACTAATTCTGATCTTCACTTATTGTAAAGAATAAGTAGCTATTCAGAACAAACTTCTTTATCCATTTTTTCTTCAGACCAGGTTTCACTATATGTAACTCAGACTACCTCTCCACTCATAATGCTCCTCTCTCAGCTTCCCAATAACAGGTTAGCAACCGTACCCATCCGAACTTCTGCACCTCATTTCTGAGCACTCCTGGTTTACTTAAGTGTGTCAGCTCTTTTTAGGGTTCAGTTTGTTTCATTTATCATTAAAACCATCAGTCAACTCACAGAAGGAAAATTTTGTTACAGCAGACTGCAAGAGAGAAATACTTACATGTTTCACACCTTGGTCCTACAAACCCGTAAGCACAAGTGCAGAGATTGCCTGGCAAGCATGTGCCCCCATGTTGGCAAGGAGGGCTACAGTGTTCTGCAGACACAGATATTATTTAGTCAGGTTTAATAGTCAGTGTACATGCATATATAGAGAACTGCTGCAATGAAGGCCCCATTATAAGAACAATTTAGAGTAAATTCAGTTCCCCTTTTACTGTGTAGTTACTTTTCTGTAGGGATCCACTATATGGATTCACAATTCCGGAACACTTATATATTAGCACCATGCTTTGGTTTATAAATGAAAACTATAAAACCTGGTGTAAGTGTGTGAGAGGTTTATAAAATACTATGGGTAATTGAATGGCAATACTTGACCTTCAGCTTCTTCTAAAATGTGAGTATACACTTATGGACTCCTGTCCTAAAATTAGAATTTTATATTTCCTTAGTTATTTTCATTTGCTACTAGTGCTGAAGATTTTTGTTAGTTCCACGCTTACTTTGTTTCTTTATGGCTTTCTTTGTCATTAAATCTAGTCACAAGGAATATGACAGCATCTTCTGGCCTTACAGACATTTCATGAACATGGTGCCCAGACAAACATCCAGGCAAAACACCCTTACAATTATATCTCTAAAATGAATTATTTATAATGACTAGTTTTAAACTGTGAGCGCTTATCCAAGCATTGATGAGTATTCATTAGCATAAACACAGTAAGAAAATTATCTTGTAAAGTGTTTTCAAGAAAATCACACTATATTTAGTTCCATATTTGAGATGTTAATTGGAATTACCACCTTCATCGCAGGTTGCTCCACCATGGCCTGGAGGACATTCACAGATGTTAGGCTTAATGCATTTTCCATGTTTTTTGCAAACAGGGTGACAGATGGCTACATAAAAATAAAGCCCCTGGCTTAGAAATATTGATTATCAAATAAAATTTATTATACAAACTAATGAATCATGTACCTACCAGTTTGGCAGTTGGAACCAGTGTAACCAGGTTTACATTTACAGATGTTTGGGGCAACACATTCCCTGTTTCTTCCACATGAGTGTCTACAAAATGCTGCAAAAATCAAGGAAGAATGTCTGAATTACAGATAATATATGTATATTCACATATATATATTACATCCAGATTTAATTATATCAAAAAGTTTTTCTAAAAATTTCTAATGTAAACATTCTAATGAATTATTAAACTACAGCTGCTACATTAAATTATAATTATTTTCCTTATACTGGTTTCGTGATTAGAGTGACTGAGAAAAATGATTACTAGACTAAGCGAGAAGTACACTGTGCAGCAAGCATTCCAATAGCACTAGCTCACAGCATAGGAAGCAGCCAGCCATGAGCTCATGTTGCAGAATATGATGGAGACTCAGATGCTGTACAGTTAAATGTTGATTCTACAACACTGGTGGTCTGAATGCCAAAGGGCATTGGTTCTAGGAAGCCCAATGTTATTGGGGCTGGATTCTTTAAGCATATTCCAGTGGGCATGTAACACTTCTCATATAACCATATACATGAGACAGATGCATTTATTTGTTACTAACAAGCAATTTTGTATTTTAAAGTACAAATGTTGAGACTTTATACCTTGTAGAAAAAAAAAGTAGGCTAGTTTTTTGTATGTTTGTTTTTTGTTTTGATTGTTTTACTTTTTTGTAATACCAAGAAGTATTGAAATGTTTGTTTAATTTGTCTCAAACCAAAATGAATATTAACAATAAAAGTAACAAATAAATAACAGAAACGATGACAAAACACCTAAGAAATAGTTTCTCAGAAGACTGAACCAAAATTTTATTTGTACTAAACAAAAACAATGACTATACAATACAAGGCAAAGGTATAAACAGTACTTATAAAATTGAAATGACAGAACAATTGTTTACATGTCAAAAGCATTTAAGGAATTACAGAAAATCAGTTTGTTAGAACCAGTCATTGAGGTGTTAACTGCCAACTGTGGACTGAAACAACCAGGCCACAATACCCATCAAGTTTGTATTCACAGCTGTGACTCATCTCTTTAGCGGCTTGATGCCAAACAACCAGATTCATAAAGCTCTGCTCTCTCATCTGTACACACGGAAAACAACACGCAAGTATGTGTGGTTGCTAAAGATCATACGATGTTTAAGATAGAATATTGTTATGGAACTTAGAATAGAGCAGGAATTGCTGTTCTAATAATATTTATATAGTAAGGATATTTTGTAACAGTAGCAGTATTTTTAAAAGAGCATTTCAGAAAGCCCACTTTTTCCAAAATGTATTTCCAGAATGAATAAAAATCAGAAAATAGAGAAGAGTAACTGCTTAATTACATAAGCGCTATCTTTTCACTCTATGTTCTAAAAAATTTCACAGTACCTCTACAGTTGGTCCCATCTCCATAGTACCCAATGGGGCAGCGTCCACACTTGAAGTGACCATCTATGTTTGGCACACAGGAAACACCAGGGAAACAAGATGATTCCGTGCAATTTGATGTTTTGCTTGATCCAAACTTCTCTGGCAACATAGTGATTTCTTCAGTGTTCAGTGATGTAAACTCATGCTGAGTGAAGCCTTGCAGAGGTAGGCTAATTGAAGCATCATATTCTCCTGTCTTTGTTTGAGCAGTGCTCTGCACACCATCACTTATTTGCCCAAAATGACTGTTATGATTGATGGTTAAAGGAGTGCCAGTGTGTGCAGGAATTTCTCGCCCCTTGAGAGTAAGATTTGTACTGAGAATGTGATCTGCATGCTCATGAGTCTGTGTCTGATGAGAAACACCGTTCTTTGTTTGAGTTGTAACCGATTTTATTGTCAAGTGAGAGGTGCTTATTGAGTGTGAGAACTCACTGATAGTTGTTGCTGGATTCTGAGTAAAGGTTGGACTTGATAGTAAATGCTCATTTGATGGTGACTGGAAACTCAAATCTAAAAAAAAAAAAAAAAAAGGAATAGAAATTTTCATATTTTCATCAGAATGTTTAGTAATATTCTATAATATCCACAATTTGATGCCAAGTCATTCATTCATTCATTTATGTGTGGTTTATAACATGGAAGATTAGGAATCATAAAGTAAGGAAAAGTCATCATAGTGTTCCAAACTTCAAGGGTGATGTGACCTATTTGGATACACAAGGTAACACAGAAAGTAAGCTCTTAGTGAATCTTCATGAATAAGTGCCCCTGAAATTGTTTATTTTTCTATAATATATACCCAAGGATTCAGGAGGTTAGCAATGATAAGAATATATTTCAAGTTGCATTTATATAATCCTTAAATTGTCTTCCTAAAAGCAAAATTAACTGAGGCACAATTTGTTAGTCTTAGGAAACACATTTGAGAAGTACTCTGCATTAGTCTTGAAGCAAGACCATGATCTACTGGGGACATTTCCATCTATTTGCCTAACAGATTTTATGTTTTTAGAAGTTTTCCATCCTCTTCTTCAATGACACCTTTATCAGGCCTCATGAGAACCATAGGTTTTGTAGTAACACCCTTTAAAATCTGTTCTAACTGTAAATCAGTACATGAAGCGTATCCAAGTTAAACTTGCAAACTAAACCCAATGAATCATCTAGGATTCATGAGTCACTTGAATTAACTCTTTGCAAACTAGATCAAAGACACAGTTATGGTATTCTTTCCCTCCCCCCCCCCCCACTAAATCCTCAGAGGTAGAATGATCTGTGTGCCTGAAAATTCATCTATAAAAGTGTAAGTCCTAAGCATGAATGTGTTTGGAGAGAGGGTCCTTGGAAAAGGAATCCTGGTTGTGTAAGGTGAGAATAGTTAATCTCTGATCTAAGAAACAGTCATCCCCAAAAGAGGAGGAAGTGTCAGGAAAGCCAATGCAACCCAAGAAGCATGCCCAGTGATGGCATGGCTGTCTGCCAGCCAAGAAGACAGATTCCCTGAAGCCAACCAAACTAGGTCCTTGTTCTTGAATTTCCAGGTGCTAGAATTAGAGATGTAAAAGAAAAAACCAGCATGCTTTGTGCTGTATTATACAGTCCTTACCTTTCTACAAAATAAAAATACCCCAGGGATAATTACTTCAGTCTTATGGAAAACAAATGGGAGGTTGGTACTGAGTCTTGCACTTGTTACCTCGACAGACATGTCCACTATGATATAAAGTTTGGATGACCAATTCCCTATCAAAAACAAATCTTTATACCCTAAATTGTACCACAAATATTGTTCCTTAATTCTGTTTTTTAGATCTCACTTTTAAAATATTGGTGCCCCTTAGTTCCTTTTTTTCCCCTTTCCCCTAAAATCTGTGTCCTTAGATAATAAGCATGAGTTGCATCTGTTACTCAGTCCTCTCTATTGACTGTTACATGGATTTTATAAAGACTCTTAATGGGAGATGTCACTCTATAAATATGTTTCTCGTATCGGTTAATGAATAAAGCTCTATTGACCAATAGGAGAGCAAGATAGGTGGGACTAAGAGACAAGGAAGATTCGGGGATAGGTGGTAGGAGATTCAACTTGTAGGCCGACTGAGTAGAACTCTGGACCCTCTCTTTGGTAAGCTAAGACCACGTGGAAACACTTAGATTAATAGAAATGGGTTAGTATTTAAGACAGAGCTAGCCAATAAGAAACACTAGTAACAGGCCAATAGTTTTATATCTAATACAACATCTCTGTGTGTTATTTGGGCCTGGCACAGCTGTGGGACCAGGCTGTGGGGAAAACAACTCATAACGATCTTTCCTTATTCAGACTCAATCCCTGATTTTTTTAAGTTCTTCCGTTGTCTTCCTGGGAGGAATGATGCCCACACTCTTGTGTGGTCCTCAGGCACTGCTATCAAAATATACAAAACATCTTTTAGGTGCCATTGAGCTATTATCACATTTTCTTTCTACCATGGGATGATCTATTAAGTGGGTGGACATGTATGATATCCTTCTGTATCCTGTACATCTAGTTCTACATGCAACATGTTGCATATATACTGAAGGAACATGTGAATAGAAAAAAAATGCAATTGAATGACCCAAATTAGATAAATGTAGCACAAAGCATAGCAGCAAGCAGGGGATTTTACCATGGCATATGTTCCCATCACCATGAAATCCTTTTGGACACGAGCCACAATGATAAGAACCAAAAATATTGATGCATTCCACACCTGGGAAACAAGGCCAGGATTCACACTCATCAACATCTTTCTCACAGTTCTTGCCTACAGGAAACACAGACCAATAATTCTAATTATTTAATTTGAAATTCATCACATGCCTAGGATCCCATTGTTTGGTTGTTCATGCTCCTGATTTAGTCTGTTGAAATTTTACTAAGAGCTTGGTATGTGGACTTGGCTGGCCTGTTACTATTTATATAAAGATATATCTAAGGTTAACCTAAAATGTGTGATACTCTTGCCTCTTCATGCCATCACACCTGAAGGTTCTCCTACTCTTTATTTAGCAAATCAAAATCTCTTCTGAGGAAATAATTTACTCTTTATTTAAAATCAATTTGAAATTATTTATACATCTTTTAATAGTAAACTCAAGTCTTCACACACACAAATTTATTATTCTATAAAGAAGGTGAGTAACTTCATCATTATGGAGGGCCAGGTAGGAGACCATGAGTTGCTTAGCATAAGTAAAATAAGCATATTTGTCTCAAGAAAGAGTCAACTGATAATTGAGGTAAGAATTACAGTATATAACATATAACTATATACTATATAGTATATAACTATATACTATAAAACTAGAGAATTTGTACTTTTCCTTAAAAACTCTATCTTTTGGAACATTGCTTGCTTAGACTAAGGAAAACTTGGTCAGTCAAATTACTCACTCTGAAAATTTTAAATTTTACATGTTAAAAAGTCAAGTTTTTCTCTTAAGATATTTTGAGATGATATAGTGCCCTTTGATAAGCTTAACATGTTATTTAGATGAATAAATTTATATTATTACTAGACAATAGTCCTTCTTATATATATATTCCTGAGGCAATCAATATTTGAATACTTTCAAATATAGTCTGTAACATAACACACAAAAGTTATCTACATTCATATGACTAATTTATAATTTTAAAACAATAAAAAGATTAAAAGACAAGTAAATAGTCTGCTTTGTTCATATATTTTCAAACTGATATATTTCAGGAAAGTCAGCTCAATAATTATATTAATCTAATCAATACATCTATATAAATAAAGAACTATTTATATAAGATCATTGAATAGTTGATTTAAAAAAAAGACTTATCATTGTCACATTCTTAATTATGGAACCCAACATTTTAGGACAAGTAATGAATTAGAGTATATGCTAGCATTTCATTTGTTTCCAACTCTGATTTAACCCAAGATTTCTCTAAGTTAATAAATTATTATAAAGCATTTCTTATGCAATAATATTTGTATTCTCCATGAAATAATTTTATTATTATTATGTTATGTATGTAAATATTTATTTTTAACAAAATAAAATATAAGATAAAACAAAAATCATCACATCAAAATTAGACAAGGGAAACCAACAGAAGGAAGGGAATCCCTAAGAGAAACATAGGAATCAAAGACCCATTCATTCACATATTTAGAAGTCCCACAAAAATGCTAAATTGAAAGTTCTAATATATACCCACAGGACCCAGTGCAGAGTAGTATAGGTTTTATGCTTTCATCTTCAGTCTCTGTCATTTATATGAGCATTGCTCAGGTGATTTAGAGGACCTCCATCCTCTCTGGTTCCCACACTCCTTCTGCATACTTGTCCACAAGGCTACCTGATCTATATTATCTTTAAATATCAATACACTTAAATGTATTATTATTTGCAAAATAATATAGAAAATCCCTATAAACAGGCAATAGAGTTTTTTTGATTTCAGTCAAATTTACAAATTAGACAAAATTGCAAGAATATATGAAAGCAAAAGTATATGAACATAATTAAAAATAAATTATAATTAAACAATTAAAATATTAGGATATAAGTAGTGTGTATGTCTGTGATATATTTTGCCAGACTTTTAAAAACACACATCAAAATCTTAAGAACATAGATTTGCAAGTTCCACAAATAATATTCTAAGAAGCTTTCCCTTCTAATTCATTCAATTTTCATTTGATTCATAATGAACCCATACTGACCTGTGAGCTCAGGAGGACAGTCACAAGAATAAGTGTTTAAGCCTCTAATACATATGCCAAGGCCACAAGGGTTTGACTGGCATCCACTGGCATCAATTTCACAAAGACCGCCAAGGAAACCAGGCAAACAGACACACAGGTACGCTCCACTTCCTGAAGTAAATTTCCTGTCAGATACACAGGAACCACCATTCATGCAGTCACAAGACTTCACAGTGACCTACAAAAGACAAACAATGAATGCCTTATTTTTTAATAGAGTTATGTTTAGTTAATGCCCCATGAAATCATGACAGCCATGAAGGCTTATGTACATGTACAATCAAATCATGTATCTCTACAAAATGCTAATTTAAAATTTTTACATCAACTCTTGAGGGCATAACTAAAATGTATGTGCCAGGGGAATACTTTTAGAAATGTTCCAGGTAGAACATTTTAGTTTTATTTTCTAATTTTTAAAACAGATTTTATTTGGTTCAGAGTGGCCTTTGATTTATAGTCCTCCTTCCTCAGCTTCCCAAGGATAGATATTTTAGGCATGTAACCCCCATGGATAGAATGATCTATTTCCATAATGCAAACAGAACACCAGGAAACAAAACAAAAAAAATGTTGAGGATAGGCAGCACCCATGTATCCCCCAATAAAAGAATAGAACATAACTTCAGTTTCCAGGCTAGTATGACCAAACACAATTACCTTTCATCACATGTGCCTGTGTGAAAACATACATGCCAAACTTCAAACACACATGCACATCTCAAAGAGTTTACAAGAATTCACACCTTATGACTGACATACTACATATATCAATAAAGGAAAATTGTCAACTAGTTCCTTTATGTCTTCTTCCTATATTTTTGGTTTCTAATTCAGCATCCAAGAGTCTTTCATTTGATGGGGAAGGCATAATTATCAATCTTATTTTAGTTAGAACTCCCATGAGAGTAGAAATGAGTGAGATTCTCATCCTTGTCTATCAAGTACAGAGAACAATGTCAGTTATCAGTTTAGATCCATGATTAAAAATTTCTCTAAGGTGCTACAAGCAACAGCCAAAGATGCAACATTAGTGATTTCATTGCTCTTTGATATTAAGACGAAGTCTTGTGCTTGAATTTGAAATTAAGTGTATTTGGAAAAAAGCCAGTGGCATGCATATAAGTACAACTCCAACCTCCATTGTGACTGTAGTTTCAGCCTCGCAGTCATCCCTAAGAAGGAGAATGAATCTCTGAGGAGTCAATGACTCTGTTTTCCATGTAAGAAGTCCTTCAGAAGAAACACCTGCTCCATCAGGACCGGAATCCAGTGTAAAATGTATCTCTGAGCCTTCTGGATCCCAGGCCACGAACTGGTATTCAAAGTCTTCTCCATAAAAGGTATGTAATTTGTCTTGTGGTGCTTGAATCATTGGAGGCTGGTTGTCTGTAATAAAGAAAGTAAGAAGGGTGAAAGGCATGATCCTGATGTTTCCCAGGGGGATAAGGGTCTAATAAGGACTTAACTCTGTTTGAAGTTCCATTAGCTGCTTTGTTGTTGTTGCTATCTAAATGTTACTCCATTCTGTGTAAATGTAAACATAATTGGAAGGCTCAAGTTCAGTTTTGTGGAGCAAATCTGTAAAGACGTTGTATCCTGCATGAAACATCCAGGCAGCGTTGCACTCTTTGGGTTTGAGACACTCCTCTTTTGTCTTATATAACCATTTTGACCATTCCACTTCCTGGGGATCCCAGGTACTCCTGCACTCTCTGTGTGCACTCGCTCTTCCAGCTCATGTTCTCCCTTGGCACCTCCCATTACTTCCTGTGATTATATCCTCCATCCAAATCCTTAAGGTTTCTTTATTCTACATACTTTCCCACTTGTAACAACTGGGAGCGGTCAGACCAAACTCCTGTTCCTCTGAGTCTCTTCCAGTGGCCACACTTACTCCCTAGTGAAGCTGTGCTAGGAATAGTGAATGTTACTTTCATATGTAGAAAACATTACAAAATATAGTTTATGCTGTCTTATATTTTGGTATGTGTACTTCCATCACCTGCTAGTTAAAAATAAGTAAGAAAACCAACCTCACTATGGCATCTGGGTTGCAGGTGCATTATGTATACATGGGATGTACAGATGTCAAGTACCCCAGTCCCGGCTCACTATCTATTCCTGTATACCTTCAAAATCAGCCTTTACTGATCCTATTTCCCTCATCCTCCACATAAGGCTTATTTTAAAACTTCTTGTGTCATTGAACACTATGGCTTATTTACAAATCTGTCATACTATATCCATTAAAAGACAGACTCCAACTCAGAAGGTAGTTTCTTTATCTCCTTCACCATTTTCTCCTCAAATTTTCATCAGCTTTGGTTAATATTCTGTAAATATTGTCCCTAAGCCATGAATATGGCATCATCTAACAAAGAAATGAAGTTTACATATAAAATTTTATGTATAATACCACAAACTACTGTGAAAACATAAAGTCTTGTTACTTATAGAAAAAGTTACATAGTCACTGAAAATCATGTCTTGCCATATCTTACTTACTAGTCCATGTAGCTAATAACACCTGATCTCCACACAAGGAAAGAAGTCAGACACTAATACAAAATTACCATAGTACTTGTGAAGTACTTGTGAAGTAAAAAAATTATGTTATGTGATCACAATTTGTGCTAGCATTTGAATGGAACAGTATATCCTAAATTTATCTATATATGGAATTGTATTAATAGCATCACAGAAGAAAACTGAAAAGAACTTTATAGAGTACTGAGTCTAAATGCCTTAAATCACAAATGATAAGTTCATGTCTGTTGAAGCTGAAATAGCTGAATACTTTGTCATAAAACTGAACAAAGTGAAGCTAGACTTAGAAAATGTTGTGTACCTGAATTAAGAATTCCCATTTCTCTCTTCCATGAACAATTCAAATACTGTTTCATGATTAAATGTTAAAATATATACCTTACAATCTATTACAGCATGATAATATAAATTATATATAGCAATGTATCACAACATTAGAATTAATTCTAAGAAATACATTATTAATCAGTTTTATTATTATATCATCATGTAGTATATAGTCACAAATTAAGACAGCCATGAAATTTTTGGTAATATCAGCATATGCAAAGCCTATTATTAACCAAAATGTTATTTGGTATGTGGTATCATGTATAAAACCATGCTCCTGTCTTTTGTTTCCCTAAAGCAAAGAAATTTATAAAGTAATAAAAGACCCTGAATCACACACATTGTTCATCCATCTGAAATACATTAGTATAAGTTATGGCTTAAAATCATGTTAAAACTTTTGTATAAAAAAATAGTTGTATTAGTAAAGAACAACTTACTGTCTACAAATGACCAAGTAGAGTTTGATATTTGGGGTCTACAAATCAAACAAGAGCTGGTAGGGTTTTTATCGCCTTCAGTGTAGCAGAGACCATCAATAACACAAACATTATCCTAGTGTTTGGAAAAAAAGAAAATATCAACAAGAAATCCCATGCGTAATACACAGGAACTAGAAACAGAAAGAGCAGCATATATACTTTGATTTGGAAAGAGTTTCATAAACTCAACATGCATACCTCTTTGAAAACAAACTATTCATATTATGTAAAAAGAACTGGTCACTTGGAGGAATAAGAAAATTCAGGTAAATTATGAAATAGTATCACACGGCTTATGAATAACAGTGAGTATAACCACCATTTTTGTCTGTCAGCTCCTCCTGGCAGTGGTTTATTGATAAAATGACATTTTCCTGTACATCTAAAAGAAGGACATTAATTTATAGTCACCTTCTATTTCCCTTTGTAACCTACGCTGTCCTTTGAATTTCACTACTAGCCCAGATTCATGGCATAATTACCTTCACTACATAATAGATCCAGTTACAAGACATCTGTGAAAGTGATGCTGCCACATGAACAAAGCAATGGGGTGCAATAGTCCCTTAACTTCCGCAAAAGATTCACCTTTATTTACCACTTTTGCTCATTTGGTAACAACTCTATTGATACTGTTTACTCTTCTACAAGATAGAACAAATGGCTGAGAGATCGTGACCACCTTGAAAGTCTCATTGAAAGAGCATTTAAACGACCAGAAACAAAATATACTAGATAATATTAAAAAAATTAAAAAAACTAAAATTTCTTGTTGATATAATATGAGTGCTTATCTCAAGAAAAAATAAGGTTACAAATTGTTATTTTCATATGTGTGGATACTAGTTTTGTGTTCTTTGATTTAGAACAGTAGAATGATATTCAGTTCACGGTGTTTATCAAGTCATCAATTTTCAAGTGACAAAGTCCTCCAGGTAACCAAATAAAAAAGTAAAAACAGAAAACAAACAAAACAATTTTTAGTAAAAGCATTAGATACATTTTATCGACCATTTTCAAATACAATACATTTGCTACAACAAGGACCAGCTAATCACAAAGACAAATCTTATTGAAAAAAAAATATTATTTCTACAGGAGAAGCAATGTACATAGGACCACATGAGTGAATGATCCAATATAATTTTCCTTCTCTGATTCTTTAGGAAGGGTACAGAGAAGAGTGGTTGGCTGGCATATAGCCCAGGCTTTCCTCCATGATGGGGCAACCTTAAACTTTTGATCTTCCTGCCTCCATCTCCTGAGTGATAGAATTTTAGCTGTTTGCTACTTTCACATAGTTTCTCTTTCAATGTTTCAGAAAGAAAATATTCTGCCACTTTAACAAGAGTTACAAGGTGATTAATTTGAATTAGACTAACACAAATATAAGATAAGAATTGCCCATCTCATTCTAGCATACGATTGGAAAAGTACAAGAATATGCCAAAGACTTGAATATATGTATTATATGCTATGAAAATATGGTACATACCTTCATAATGCATGAGTCAATTTCAGAGGGACCACAAACATGACAAGTTCCATCATATATGGTCATTATCTTGGAATTACTGAATGCATAACCATCATTAGATACCTGTGAGACACAGTTTTACCTTATGATTATTTCTTTCAAACACTGCCTCATCAATTCGCTGTGAAATTTTGTTTATGCATAAAATGATATATTTTATTTGTTACCTTTAATTGCAACTTTGCCAAGGATTTCTCCCCCACCAGGTGCATGGTATCAGAATGCAGGACATCTTTTGGCAGCTGACAATCAACCATTCCACTGTCTTGAAAGAATGTCTGTGTGTACACATTTACTCCAGGCACCCATTTACTACCATTATACTGAAAGTATAATGAAAAGCCAATTAACTCTTCTAAATTGTAAAAGCCCTTTTGTTATAAAATTATATATGGTCAACAAAGAAATTTTAAAATATATATCCCATATGATGGGATAAATAATTAGAAAAATCATATTGAATTGAAAGTAAGTTTTTTTAAGAATAATTAGATATACGCATTATAATTTGATAATACGAAAAATACTTCTCAAAGCTTCAACCCCACAAAAGTTGCCAAGGTTGGTCATATATTCACCAAACAACAGATTTCAAAACAAGAAGAAAAGCAATGGAGTGTGTAATTGGCACATGGTAGAGGGATTTTCCAAGTAAGATTTCTCCAAAATTTCTCAAGTTCATTGCCTTGGAACATATCTCTAGTTGGTACCCACTGGGATTTTATGCTCTTATATGACCATTGACTGGTTCAGAGGAATAACTAAGATAGGTCAGTGCTTACGCTATATGAAAAAATTTTAGCCTTAATAAAGTTAAAATGAAGCCTACAAAAATAGTAGGACTAAAAACATATGTGCACATATATAATTGTGTACACACTAATTTTTCATGGTGTACAAGATCTAAGATAAATATTTTCCCCCCTGAGGTTTCAATTACATTCTTTTCTTTGATTCTCTAAGAAATACACTACTCTCAGTAAGATTTCTCTTTTTGCTTAATAGTAGAATTCTAGCTAGTAGAATTCTAGCTAGTTTATCCTATCTAATAATACCAGTGGAATATCATACTTAAGTTACATTTTGGGTATTATTTTATGGACTGTAAAATGTGTTGCTGTGTGAAAAGGAAGAGGCAGAATAATTTTCTGAATATAGACAATTGTATTGAAAATTAGAAGGATACAGTTTGCTGACATTTGAATTCATATTTATAAAAAACACATGTTGATTGCACAAAGATTTTCAAACATGTAGCATTGGTCATACAACTTGGTAGTGCCTCAGCATTGTAGGTCAGCAGGAAAGAGCCAAGAGAGAGACATCTCTCTAGTTTGTATGGAGACGAGTCTATTTAGCTTTGAAGATTTGGTAATTGACTGAAGTTCTGCTGATAGCTATAGATATGAAGAAGAAGTCTGTTATATCAGATATGTCAGTGGGTTCCTTTAGCAGAGGAGGAATTACAGAGATGTCAAGGCTGTCATTATAGCCATACTTAAGGGATGAAGGATCTCTTGATTTCCTGTATGAAATCAGGCTGCATCCAATGACTCATTCTTAAGATATGAGTTCTATCCTTCTATGAAAAGGTAGACCCAAAGTAATGAATAAATATAGTTCTACATTCTTTATATTCAATATTTTATGAGTGCTTATTATATGTTAAGATATTCTTTTATTCTTTTTAATTATTTTAATTTTTGAGAATTTCATACATGTGAATTGTATTTAAGATATATATACATATATATGTATATATATACATATATATATATATATATATATATATATATATATATCCAATCCTATGTGTTCAGTCTTATACACATACACACACTTGATACTGGTATTGTGTTGAGGGAAAACATAACTGAAAAAACATAGACTATAACATTTTGTTTCGATAACTGAGATTGAGATAAGGTATAATAAATACAAAAGAACCAAGTCTAATCTAGTCATGGTAGTCTTCAGAGGAAGGGGAGGGGGCGGTTTATTCTTCACTCTTCCTGGAGGATAAAAAGAGAGATCCAACATAGTTGGGGAGGTCAGCATGTGAAAAGCAAGGAGGCACAAAGTGTCATGGTCGGCAGTAGAGCAAGAGGATAAGGTGGAGGTTTAAGCTGCCCACAGGAGACAAAAGCTAGGTCAGAAAGCCCTCCTCTATGCACAAGGTTGCTGGTTGGACTTAAGCCTATGCATCAGCAGCTTAAAAGCTGGACATGGCTTTTAAAGGAAAGAATGAAAACAATGATGGATCAGGTGGCTGGATTTTTAGACTAAGATTTGTTTAAAATCATTATTATAATAGTAGAAAAGGGCTGTAAGCAGTGATACTCTGTTCTTTATATAAAATAAAAGATGTTTATGCATGCCTTTGTACAAAAGAAATACAGTAAGGGTTAACCAGAAAATTACAGTGGACACATATGTCAGCATGTGGAGAGAAGAATATAAAAAAAGGGGTAATGGGAACCCATTACTCAAAACAATAAAGGACAATGGAAGAAAATGAGTGATAGGGAAGAGAAGAAATGAACAATTCTCTGTAAACATCTTTCATACAGATTCAACTATTAGAATTATTATACTATCTCTATTCTCCAAAAATTATTGTCTAAAAAAATTTTTCATGTAAATTAACTAGAATGTGTAGGAAACTCAAAGAGGAATACAAGTACTTAGATGAATTGCATCTGTTATGAACAGGAAGGCAAGGAAAATAGTGTACATCATTTTGGAAACATCACTTCGTGTTATATCATTAGGTCATTTTATAAATTTGCTTTTCAAAGGTAGAGGGTAAAATATCTATAAAATATATATGTTAATTGTATATATATATACATATACATATATGTATATATATATATACACACACAAAGAATGATAAATAGATTTATATATTGGGAATGATGAGAACTGTTTTTTACTTGAGAAGAGAAACAGATAAGGAAAGGAGATTAGAGTGAACACTGTGCATTCCATTAGAATCAGAGACATCGTTGTTAGCTCGTGAAGATGGTAGATTAGATAGATGTTAAGTAGAGAGATGAAGATGATGAAACTAGATGATAGAAACATAGATACACAAATGATAGATAGAGGGATGGATGATAAAAAATGATAGAAAGACATGTGTGCATGCTTTATCCATTGAAAGCATTTGCAAGCAATAATAAATAATGAAATTAGGAGAAGCCATTAGCTTAGTGGAAACATAGTCCCACCCATCCAAATGAAACCTGGGGCTTCCAACAGATTTCTAAAGACTATATTTTAATGATTTTAAAATTGTGTCAAAATATGCTTCATAAAGAGTGAATCAAGAAAGCCTTCAAATCCACATGGAAAGATTTTATGTTTCTGTGTTAAGATTAGACCTAGGTGATTGGTTTGCCCAGTACCAAGTGGACAGCCTTATAAGCAAGTAACATTAAATGCACTCTTATTTGATTGCTATGTAATAATAATTAAAAAGTATGAGACAAAGAATTTGAGAAGGAGCAGAGAGGGGCACATGGGAGAAATAGGGTATAGAAGAGAGAAGCAATTTAATTATATATTAATTTTTAAAAAACTAGGGATCACAGAGAAAGATTCAACTTCAGTATCATATAAATATTTGTTATGTAGGCCAACCTTGAGTTTGGCAACTAAGTTTACTCCTTTTATTTCTCTTATAAGTCATTATAATGTTATGGAATTCCAAAATCCCATGTCAGATGTTTGGAAGGGAAAGAAGTGAAAATCAAAACATATAAAATGCATCTAAAAGTAAGTACAAGATGTATTTTTCCAAGAGAATATAAATTTGTAAAATTCCTTCTGTTTAATTATTTTCTGGTAGCATGAACTCATCAACTCTGCCAAGGTCACACATCTACTGCATTGATACTGAAACCGTAGAGTCTCTATGCAAAACATAATGCAATGAGCATACTTATGCATAACTACATAAGTAAAAATAGATGCAACAATTATTTCCTTCAACAAATTCTCAGTACCAGATTCACGTTTCACTTCAACAACTTAGAGATAAAAATGCAAAACTATGATTGACTGTTTTAAGTTTTCAGCTTGTCCAAATGAACACTCAATTTTAAAAACATGTCCTTACACTAAAAAGCTTTACTTGTACAAAGAAAAGGAAGATCATATCACACACACACGTGCAAAATTGGATGTCCTCATTTTCAAACTGGATTAAGTTATGCTTTTGTAACCTTGAGAAACAAATAACTGATGGGGGATGGACTGGGAGTATTTTAAAGTCTGAAATCCGTAGAGAGGGAAATGTGAACAATGAGCACAATTATCCACCATTTCTACTTTACAAGGGCATCTGCAGGGATCTCTGTCTCCTGCACTCCCTGACAGGTACCTCAGCTAAACACCCTTACCATTCATTGTGCTTTACTTCTCAAGAAAGGGAGAGGTTTCCATACAACTAGCTTGATATTCTTTTACTTTTTATTAATCATGACTGAAAATTGTGACCCAATTTCTCACAAAAAAATAATATAAAAGACTTAGTAAAGTTTACAGGGTAGCTCTGCTGGAGAAGCAGTTTGGCTATTTTCTTGTAAGTCTCAGTGGGTCAAACAAACCCACTGAGATCATGTTGGTATTTGATAGACAAAGTTAACCTAAATAAATCATAAACAAGGTTATTTTAAACACTGCCTGTGCTTAACATACCTTCAGTTTAGTAACTTCACACTTGAGGAAAGGAGATTCTTTGAAGGCTTGACCAAAAACTCTTACTGTATCACAATTCTGTTTCTGCATGTCACAGAATCCGGCATTCTCAAGCTCTGTAATTTCAGGACTTATATCTTTAGGAAAGAAAATGATAATAACCAGCATGTGCTTTGGGAATTACATTTAAAAAAAAAAACACTGCGTAATTATTTTGATTGACCAAATTAAAAGCATAGGTCAAATAACATTTCAAAATATTCTCGAAATATTATTTATAGTAGTTAATCAGTTAAACATTCAACAATCTTGTTTTTAAAGATGTATTGTTAACCATCAAAAGGAAAGCGTTGTTATAATCGATAACTCTTAAACACACATTTCACTGTTTCAGTAATATTTGTTATCAATTAAGGGAGGATGTTAATAAATTACTACTATCATAAAATAGGTCTGTTGGTTTTGCCACATTGGTTTCTGCCAAACAGATGAGTACAGGTAAAATATGCTACTGTAATAAAATAGTTAATGGTGCAATATTTACACTTCAAAAATTATTTTATTATTAGAAAAAATTATTGAAGTGTATTACAGTCCTATTTCCATATCATCCACATTTTTTTGTTGTTTGATGAACATAACTGTGACTTTATTAGTCCTTGGCAGGGAATGCATCTCTTACCACTCAGAGTTAATTGGCTTTCATGTGGCTCTCTTTCTGGCTGTGGCCTTAGGGAACACATCACCTGCCTCAGAGAGAGCTGCTTTTTAAAATGGATGTGTGCATATGAAACAACTCAGTTTTCTGCCTAAGTCCTGACAAACCTAAGTGAATCTGCTAGCCTTAGGGGATGAATTGTAAGCATATGTACTCAGAATTCTTAAAATCCTCATGATAAACACTGTATTAATTCTTTCTGTCACATTTATAGCAAATGTCTATGACCGGTATAGTTTATATAGTGTCATTACATGCAATGAAGCACATGAATAAGTCAAATAAAGCCCCCATACAACTTAAATTTTATCATGGAAAGACAAAGATTATTTCAAAAGGGGAAAAACATAAAATGTTTATGTGTTTTCAGCAATGTACAGAAATTTTATATTAACTATATTATAGGAGATGTAAAACTTGGGGTTGTGTAAGTAGAGCAACTTAAAGTAGAGCTTAAGTATAGTAAATATGAGGTCTGTGCAAAAGGTTATTCTCTGCAGACAGGTGCTGTGTGCAACGGTCCTGCCTCTGGGTGGGCTCGGCAGTTTCAAGAAACAGCAACAGAGAGGAAAGCAGCCTGAAAGGATCAACAGTTGTCAGAAAGAGACGGTCAAATGGTTGGGCAATTACAGGGATGTCTGCCTTGACCTTAAATAAGATGAAACATTTGTGATGGGAGATGTCATTCTGTAAATATGTTTCTCTTATTGGTTATTAAATAAAGCACAGTTGGCAAATAGAAAGGCAAGATAGGCAGGACTAGGAGACAAGGAGGATTCTGGGAGATGTAGGAGAGGAGATTCAAGATGTAGAGACTTGAGGGAAGGGGTCCAGATCTTCTCTTCAGTAAGATAAGACCACATGGAAACACTTAGATTAATAGAAATGGGTTAATATTTAAGAAAGAGCTAGCTGATAAAAAAAAATGGTAGTAACAGGACAATAGCTTTATATCTAATACAGCATCTCTGTGTGTTATTTGGGGCTGACACCTCTCTGGGACCAGACTGGCAAAAAAAAAAAAAAAAAAAAAAAAAAACTGCTGGTAACACATTTGTGGGGAAATCATTAGAATATTAACTAATATACTTTTCACTATAGACTTGATAAACACTATGGACAAAGACATTTCCGTAATCAGATGCCATCCTCAATATCAAAGTTTAAGAGCATTTGCATACCATATGAGTCACTGCAGTCATAGGAACTGTAGCCTGGGAAACAGGCACAGCCCCACTCCATACACTCCCCATGGCCGCTGCAGAGATCAGGGCATTTTAACACTTGGAGAATGCCTCCTATTGACTTCCTGTATTCTTCTATGTTGTGTTTTCCTTCCTCTAAAACCCTTCTCTCACATTCATTCTCTAGCAAGGCCACTCCTGCTTCTGCCCAGCTCACGTCATCCTTTACCAGAACATCCTTCACACACATGTCCATAACATGCTTTAATGTACTGCCAAGAAAGGGAAGACAGAGCCTTCCAATGCTGGAGTTGACTAGAGTCTGCTGACAGAGAGCCAAGATGCTCAATTTAGTGAGGCCAGAAGCTGTGGGCCATGAGGGGACAAACTCCTGCTGGCTGTCCTCAATGTGCTCCTCTGGGAAAAGGTATGGAAACTCTTCCAGGTTGGCTTGTTTGAGACTCTGAAAAGCAAACATGGGAAGAAAGGCCTTCAAGCTGTGTCGTTTCCATCTGCTTTGTGGATCCCTCCTCATCTCCAGATCCTGTGTATGCCTGTCATTACTGAGAAATTTCAGTGGATTTTGGGTCTCATTCCATGGATGCTGCACATTTAACTCCAGTTTGGTTAGGTTAGTGTGTGCTTTTTCTTGGAGTAAGAAATTCAAATTATTATCTTCCTTGGGTGCTTGAATGCTTATTTTTCTAACAAGAACTTCTAAACTGGTATATGTAGAGGTAATATCTAGGTTCGGTATCAAGGAAGACAACTGGATATAGTTGAAGTCTTTGCAGCTGGAAGCCATTTCTAAGTGAGATCCGCTGTCCACATGGTTAGAAAGCTGAAGCTGCGAGGCGCTACCCAACAGGCAGCTACAGTAGGATGGTTTCGCTGGAAACTGTCGGGAAGCTGGCATTTTGTCAAACATGCTTTTTCCTGGTAAAAGCCTTGAGATGAAAAACAGATAGTTATTTGAAGAAGAACATTACCCTCCATTAATATATTGTGGAAAGGGCAGAATGATGAGTGACCACTACTTCACAGTAACTTCACAGTAGCACAGTAACAAATGAATAACAGCTCAATTCTCACCTCCACTCATTGATGAATGCAATATAATTGTTGACGTCATCATCCATTCTGATCCCATTTTTGTCATGGAAATCATTTTCTGGGTTTTCATCAAAGGTTCCACAAAGCCCCAGTGTGTTCCTGTAGTCTAAACTGGGAGCCCTGAGCGTTATACTCATACCCCAGTCACTGACGTCAGCACGAATGAACGCTCCTGAGGAGAACCAAACCTGAAAGCAGAGAAACCAATACTTGGATGGAAGATGCTGAATTCAGTGGGTTAAGAGGAGTGCCAGATAAGACATACAGACGTTACTTGTCCACACATACAAAGGATGAAACACTGATTATTTTTTATACATAAAAACTTTCATTTAATAGTATATTTCAAAGCCATGCATTTTTACATTATGTTGACTTGAAATTTGGTCACAACTTCCATTTTTTTTTTAATTTTTATTGTTATGTGTGTGGCTGTTTTACCAGTGTGTATTTCTGTGCACCATGTGTGTGCCTGGAATCCTCAAAGGCAAAATAGGGTGGCAGATCCTCTGAGACTGGAGTTGCAGGCAGTAGTGACCCACCATGTAGGTTGTGGGAATTGAATCTGGAAGAGCAGCCAGTGCTCTTAACTACGAAGCAATCTCTCCAGACCACATCATTGAAATAAATGGCTTGTGACTTTTTTAAAATAATTGAACTGTGACATTGTATGTGATTGTAACACTTAAAACTACTAAGGGCAGAGTTAACTAAGTCACATTACAGACAATAGTAACATAATACAGAACTGACCACCAAGTCCTTAATTTACAGTAATAAACATACTTTGAGAAGAGCACAAGTAGCAAATCAGTATTCTTTTGCTGACAGTAGGCAAATGGAATCAATAGCCAAGTTATACAGGTTGCCTGGGAAAGTTGCAACAGAGCATACAGAGATGCTGTTGGTCCCAACAATGTCCTGAGGCCAGCCATCTGGAAGTATAACTGGAAAAATGACTTCCTAAAAGCACTAAAGACATATCACTTGTGTTTGTTTTTTCCGGTTAAATATATTCTTTGTCCTCGTGTGTTTGTGTGTGTGTGTGTTGTGTATTCATTATGGGAGTTTCTTTTCAAGTGTGAACAAAATTTACATACCTACTCACTAAGATAGTTAAAATTATTCCAAATTCTGCATTTTATACTTTTGCCTAGCAATCAACAAATACCAACTCCCTCATTTTCTTGACCATAATGTTTTCTACTATGTTTCTTATTTTATTTAGCTTTCATTAAACTCTCATATTGTGACTTATAACTCATCCCCTTACAGGCAGAGATGCAATGAGCATCACTGGTTTCAACTATATCCTTAATTATTTCACTACAACAAATTCCCAGAGTTGAAAATTTTGATGGGGTGAGATATGCATAGAAGCTCTCTGAAAGACTGTAATTTTTTCCCATTATCTTTATTCCTGGAAATATTATATGAAAGGTAATGCTTTTTATTTATTCAATTATCAATGAAGTATTCCAATGTTTTGCTGATTATTTGTACATTTAGACATGTTTATAGTGTTATTCCTATGTGAATTCTTTTTGTTTTTATTTATGTATTTATTCACTTGAGACAGAGTCTTGCTATAAAACCCAGGTTCATTCTGAGCTCATCATTCTCTTGCTTTGGCTTCCAAGGTATTGGGATGACAGCTATGTGCCAGAACACCTGGTGCCTTTTGATGTTATTCAGGTATATATTTGTCTACTGATTATATATATATATATATATATATATATATATATATATATATATATATGCATTTTATATACTTACTGTCATACACATAGCAAATATTTTTTTTATTTCCGATTAGCATTTTTGTTTTGAATGATGGGATTCAGATAAACAATGTTTTGTTTGCAAATTATTATTCATTCAGTGTAATAAAACTGTAACACATTTAAATTTCTATTTAATTTCAAATATAGCTACCAAGAATTTACTTTCTGAGAGGTGAAAAGGTGAGCATGACCTTAAGATACAAATACCTTTCTAACTAGTATGACATAGTATTTTTTATAAACATTAATGGTAAAAATGTTTGTAAAATAAAATTTTGGTGTCTTTTGCCTGGTGTTTTTTTTTTCATATTTCTGTCATATATCTACCAGCTTCTGGAGTAGTAACAGGGTGTATTCATCTAAAAACTGCTTAGCTCTTCTTGAATATTGATTTTTTTTCCTTCTATATTTCTTTTTAATTTAACTGGGTTATAATCTTGTTTTACATGTCAATCCCAGTTTCCCTCTCTCTCACCTCCTCTTCTGCCCCCCCGTCAGACATGCTATGCCATCCCTTTAAATACTGATTCTTAATTGTCATTTTACCTATTGTATACATTTGTCAGATTCTGCCAAATAGCTCTGTGAATAATCCACAAAATTGTAACATTAATATATTTTAAATGGACAGGTTAGGTATCCTACAGATGTATTCCATTTTGAACAACAGGTAAAAAAGAAGCTTTCTTCATATATCTGAGTCAATTTAAATCTATTTTTTCCCTTTTCACACCAGTGAGCAAGATATTCTCATAGATGTATATAAGGTATTTTAACCATACTCATCCTTTAACTTCTATATGCTATTTTCTTCAACAAATTAATATTGAAACATAATAGTGCATATTTTGTAATGATGAACAGAAGTTTCTCTGAAACAATAAAAGGGTTTATTTTTCATATTAAAATTTTACATCTATCCACATACCGTGATTTTTCTTCCTAAATAAGATTCAGTTATTCTGATATTGCTCGATGATGAGTCTTGGTTCTTTATAAATAAATGTGGTGGAGATTCATGTAATTTACCATTGCACATATCAAAAGTGACTATGTCAGCTTCTTCTTTTGCAACAAAGCCACAGTTACACGACACAGGATAGTGAAGGCTCCCGCAGTCCCACTGACGTACATGTATTTCAAACTCACGTGACATACTCTTATAAAGCACAAATGTCCCAGTCTTGAAGTTATCATACACCCTAATATGAACAAAAGTCAACTACATTAAAAATTAGGATGAAATATTATAACAATATAACAATATAAAAAGTTCTCATATGTATGTGTAAGAATAAGAAATTTGTATTTTCAACACCTTTGTGTCTCTGAAGATTGATTTGTGCTCATGGGTGACTGAAAGTGACCATAAATACCTTAGCTCTATACCGCAAGTCTCCCTTTGCCCACCCATAGGACTTCCTTCTGAAAGGAGAGCATGGTTGCTGAGTATGCATGCACTTGGCCATCTTCCTTACCAGGAAGCAATTGTCCAATGTGATTATTACTAAATGGCATTTGATAACCTGACTCCTCCTTTTCTCCCTGTTTTAACTTTCTTCCTGAAGTGTATTTGCTTCCAACACTGTTTTATTGCTGTTGTTATTAATTTTATTTCTATATCTCTTCTTCTATCTAGTACAGAAAGTTATTGACTTCATTCACTGCCTTGCCCTCAGCACTCAGAACATGGTTTGACACCTGGATGTTTTACAACTGATCTTACTGAATGAATACAGTTTAAGTACATCACACTATGCTTTCCTGAGATTTCTCACTGAAGCTGCTAAATCTCCAAATGGAGTCATAAAAGATTTCTGCATAAGTGATCAGTACTGAGAACTTTTCAATACTCACTGAAATCTGTGTGGTGGTATTTATAATAGAGGGTTCTACAACTGTTCACTCCTGAATCATTTTGCTGATAACTATTACAGTATGCTTAAAACATCCATCAGGTATCAAGAAGCAAGTATTTTATTACTCAAATAGTTGTCTTTCTTGCTAAAAATATCTTAGCCTCACAAGTTCCTAAACAGCATCACTAAATTTAAATTTTTCTATCAAGATATTGAAAGCAGTATCATTTTTATTCCTTTTTTATTACTTTGGCCATTTTACTTAAATTCTAAATATAACCATAAAGGCATTCATGGTAAGAAAAAAATTAATGATTAGTCTTGTAATCAAGGTAATTAGTATTAAGATAAATTTAGTGAATTGGTTTAACCATTTCACAGAATCCTCAATGATTATTCTGTTATTATGTAAACATACAACATAGTGAAAAATAACTGACTCAGTATCAAATATATAGATGGCCAAGCAAAAATGATAATGTAATTTGTAAATACCTTCATTACATCTTCACTTATAATAATGCAAAAATTCAGGCTCACTAGTTGTCTACATTATTTACCCAGGACTGAAGATAAGGCAAAATTATTCAACACAAATGCACTAATGTCTGGAAACAAGCCAATGAAAGTAAAAACCACTGACAAAGACAAAGAAATGATGAAAAGGGTCCGGCATTTAAAGCCAAACAACAACAACAGAAAAACTAAAGAAAATAAAGACCACTGAAAGGAGAAAAGTTCAGGACATTACCTGCCATCAAAGGTAATTATGTGTGGGTCAGTAAACGAATAGCAGTAAGCAGATGGGATGTCCTTGACTTTTATCTTCAGAAGAAAGATACATTTAAATATTAGCATTGACTGCTGGACAGTGATGTGCAGAAAATTATTTAGCAATTAATATTCAACAAATTCATAGTTTTATAGCTACTACATATGGGGTTATTTTAAAATAAAAAAAAAGTACTTTTTAAATATTTATGTATTTATGTAATGAGTCTGCATGATCACACATGTGCATATGCCAGGTGTGAGCAAGTGGCAATAGAAACCAGAAGGAGACATCATAGGCAGTCATTAGCTACCCCACATGGTGCTAAGAACCAAATTTTGGCCCTCTGGAAGAGAAGAGAGTAAACTTAACCATCTCCTCCATCCCACCAAATAATTTTTAAATAAAAACATGGCACAAACATTATTTAATATATTGACTTATAAAGGTTATTTTTCTGACTAGTTAACCTGGATGCTGTCTGGAATGTATCTGTCCCACAGGAAATCGTCACTGATTATAGGTTCCACAATGATGTCTGTAATTCTTTCTCCATCCCGGGAAAAATCTGTCACAGCAGTATAGTACACGACAGCATGGCTACATATTCCTTCATCACAAGAAGAATTCTGGTGAAGGTCCACATGGCAGGAAGATAACGCCAAATTTAAATCTATGTGTTCTTTACCTACTTAGGGAAAAAAAAATGAGTTTTTGCATATATATAAGAAACAAATGTATTTACTTGATTAATATAAAACATTAAGGCTAAAATTTTATTTTTAAATAATTTTACAAATATCTTATAATGTTTGTCTAAATTAATAGAAGCTACTGAATATACTTGATCTTTGTAGATAAATATTAATTTTAAATATGTGTACATATATAAGTACACACACACACACTACTCTTTTTGAGAAGTTATAAACGTGTGCATCTAGATAAATTCAAAATCAATTAATAACAAAGGTAGGATAAGGTCATGAACATGTTAGTACCATGATTTCATTAACATAAACTGTACACTTGTTCTGATGTATAAATATATCCATTTAATAAGAACATGATATGGGGCTCTTGATAATGAGCAATAATCTTATTTCTCCTCATAGATATCTGGATATATCCAGAAACTGAAAATTACCTCTTCTTAAGTAACAGAGAACAGAAATAATTTCGAGAGGAAATAGTAACACAAAATAGAACAGAATTCAAACAGATGTATAGCAACTGGGCATTGGTGGAACACACCTTTAATACCAGCACTCAGGAGGCAGAGGCAGGAGGATCTATGTGAGCTGGAGCCCAGCCTGTTCTACAAAGTGACTTACAGGACAACTTACAGGATACACAAAGAAACCCTGTCTCGAAAAACAACAATAACAACCAAAAGTATAGATCATTTTCATAATTTCTGTTCTGCCCATAAACAAAAAGAACACACCCTCAGAATGGGCATAAAGAAATGGTTTTTCAAACCCAAGATGGGACAGAAAAGCTGTCCTGAGACTTAAGAGAAAGAAGTTTTTAACATTGTCTTCTTTTCACCCACATGGATTTTCCAGGTATGACATTATAACAGTCACATAAAGGCACACAATGCTCAGTTCAAACCCCAAGGGAAATGTTTTCCTTATTATTTTTCTGGAAATACATTTTTCTCATAAACATACAAAATAATGGAAACACAAATTTCTTAGCCAGTTCTCTGAGGAGAAGGTAGAATATTCCTGGCTTAGGTACAGTCTATGGCTTCATTTCCCAGGTTTATAATGTGAAAGGCCATACATCATGATACCCATGTGATTAGTCACTTAAATGAAAGAATATTAAGACAAAAGATCCCATATGAAGCTTACACTGGGGAAAGAGGTGTGAAGAATTCATTATGAGACCCGTGTTTCATAAGCTTGAACTCTTGGAACACTGCAAAGAGTTGGTTGTTCCCATCTCTGAAATCAAGGCAAAGAGAAGAATAAGAAAGAGGCATAGATAAGAGGGATGAGCAGTGAGGAAGAAGTGGAGGAAGAAGGAGAGATGACCAATGGTAACAAAGAAAGGTGGTTGGATAGTACGCTTGAGTCCAGAAAGAAAAAGACATGAACCGCTTTGACAGCCATCAACTCAATCATGTATCAGATCACTTATACAATTAAGCTATTGCTTGATAGAAGCACGAATCATTCTGTTTTCTGAGTACAGTCATAGAGAATGAGGATCAGTTATTATCCGGATTGTAATAAACCAAAAGGAACTTAGTGTGTTACCTTGTTCAATAGTTCTCAGCTTTAATGAGATTTTACACCTTTGGCCAAGCTCACTAAATTCAGAGCAAGCAATAGGAATTGTACTCTCTACCCTCAGCTGGTATTCCTTCCCATCTTCTGAAATAGTGCTCAATTCAGGTTTTAACTAGTATGAGAAAATACAGACAGAAGTTATGTTCAAATAGAATGTATTTCTAAAGATCAATATTGAAAACTTTTTTTTTTCTGGGCAGATTCTCTTTTGTTTAGTGAGCTGTTAATCACTAAGCTTCACTTAAATAAACGAAGCCAATTAACATCAAACCAGATAGATATGTGTCCCACCCACCCAATCCCAAATAATCACATAGAATCTTAATATTAATTATAAACCATTTGATCTGTTGCTCTGACACTGCTAACTCCCATTTTTAAATTAACCCATTTCTATTAATCTGTGTATTGCCATGTGGCTCCTGGCTTTACCTCTGGGTCTAGTATATCTTGCTGCTCTGGTGGCTAGCTGGCATCTGTTCTGACTCTGCCCTTCTCTTCCTGTATCTCTGCTTGGATTTCCTGCCTGGCTCTTCTATCCTGTCTTGCTATAGGCCAAATCAGCTATTTTATTAACCAATGGGAATAAAACATATTCACAGTATACAAAAGGGTTATCCCACAGGAAGCCACATGCAGTGGCATCCAGAGAGTTCCAGCACCACTCTGAATTTAGGCTCAATCATTTCCTCAACATATATTGGACAACCTTGGGGCGAAGATGACTTCATTGATTCTGGAGAATAGCAGAAGGGACACTGTTCTCCTGCCCCCACCCTGCACTGTTTATATACTGATGCCTACTGAGACAAGCAGAGAAGAGCCTGGTTATTTTCAAGTTTTTAATGTCACCATTGAGATGCATGTACTACTTACTACATAATCCAAATGTTGTCACCTACAATAACCAACTCCTCAGATTGTGTCTGACTTTCTGCCTTGTAAGAGTGACTTCTTGAGATCTATTTCTACAGCTCAAGTCATTCCAGTCCCTAGGGCAGTCATGTGTGGAAGCAGGGATCTTTTGTTGTTGTCCTTGCAGCCTCAAGTCCTAGTTGTCTCTCAAAAGAACTGCATCTTAGTGCTATTTCTCTGTTCATCTAATTAGAAACAGTGGATGACCACTGACTTTGTGTAGCTGTATATGCCAGTGCAGATCAAAATGTCCCTGTGTTCCCAAGCTCAGAGCTCTGTTTGCTCTCCCACTACTAGCTCTCTTGACAATGTACTCCAGTCTTCTGGACTCTGTCCAAGTGTACATGTACTTTAGCTCAACAAAGGTTTTTATCTTATCCCTAAATCCTGTCATTACCAATTTCCTATATTGTCTTTGAACAAGAAATGAACCTCATGCAATCTCAAATTCCATGAGTGAGATCCTCCAGTGTTCGTCTCCATCTTCCACATCTTAGTACTATCTAGTACCTCTCACTGATCATAATGTCCTGTTACTACTGCTTACCTGTTTGAATTACTCATCACTTTTTTGATCCAGTGAGACCAACAGTAACCAAAAGAATTATGTTTCTTATTTAGCAAAATTATAGCAACCCAAAAGCCCAGAGCTGTGAGTCATTTCTGTTTAAGTCCCATGTGCTAGCCCTTCATTTGGTACTTGTCTTTAAACATACACAATAACCAATAACGGCATGCTTATAATATGTGATAGAGCATGTGGTAGAATACCTTATTAAAATAGAGGCTTTAACTTACTCTGATTTGTGCTAATTCTTTAGTACCTCCTTCCTACAACTCCATGAACTATGATGGCTTGACATGAAGTTTCACATTCACAAGTAATTTACATTCATTAGAAATTATATTGTCTAATTTTGTCTTTCCTAAAAATAGCAATATTCTGCAACATGCTTTCTCATGATGCTAAGGAACAGCAGTCATCTATAGCTACCAATCAGCCACTGATCACAAAGTGTAAACACCCAATATTCCACAGTGAGCTTATTGCTAAGGTACAATGCCAAGAACTTAGTTGCATTAAGTGCATTTTCAGCTTGCACTGTTTTCGGTTTATAATGAGCTTACTGGAATGCAAAGAAACACTTCAAATTGAGCCCATTCCCATATGTATTCATGCTTTATTGCACATGAGAATTATTTAGTTATTCTTCAAAGATATTGTTTATTCACTGTAGACTTTTCGATCCATTCAATGATGAGACCCAAGAATTATCACAGGCAAATCACAGCAAATAAACTTTCTAGTTCATATCCACCACTACATACCTTAATTCCTGCAAAATATCCCTGGCTTTCAATAGCTATGCTTTGTACACCTGGGTCCTCCAAGAAAAAGATGGAAGCATTGCAGAATATCTATAAATGCAGTTAAGAAACAATTATTCGTTAGTGAGGTTATAAAGAAACATGCAAATTATTACCCATAAATCCTTTATTCAATTGCTAGTAAATGATAAAATTTAAGAAAAGGGAACTAAAGAGAAGCAATTAAGAGCCCTTGATGCTCTTGAGGGGGACACAGCTTCTGTTCTCAGCACCCACATGGTGTTTCAGAGCTATCCAAAACTCCAGGTCAAGGGGATACCATATACTTTCTTACCTCCATGGACATCAAATGAAAACATGGTACACACACATGCAGACAAAACATTCACACATAAGTTAAAATGAATAAAATTAAATTAATAGAATAAAAAACAAAACATTTCACAGATTTATCTAAAAATTTGAGAAGTGTTCTATCATAAAATATTAGTTATTTTAACCTCAATATAAAGTACAGTGTGCTTTTTATTTTATATATATATACCTATTAGAAAGTTGATAAAAAATAATATGAGCATTGAAAAAGTGACACATTGCTACCCAATAGATGAAGGACATAATTTTAAAACAGGAAAGACACACAGAGTTTTCAAGATCCACTGATAATCAGCAGATTGGTAAACGGAGATACTCAAACATAGTCACCAAAGGTACACTATTGACACTTCTAGCTGCTACTAGAATTAGCACAATTGCCAAGCAGGACACACAGAGAAGCCAAGAATCCACTGCTTTATACTCTGAGGACAAAAGAAGCGTTCAGCATTTAATTTAAAACCCAAATTTGAAAGCCAATATGTGCATGGAAAGAAAATGGAAAGTTTTTGTTTTTGTTCTACATACCTTATCTCCGAGTCTGAGATTTATGCCATCGAGTTCTAAAAGAGAAAAGTCCTGAAGAGTGCTCTCTTGTTTTAGCTCCTCTTTGATCCCTTGGGAAGAAAGCCTAGACCAGACTATGAGGAATCCCACTGAGTTGTTTGTGGGGGGAACATCAAAAGCACATCTACAAAACACCTGGGAGCCCACCAGTTCCACTGTAACCTTTGGTCTGCCTGGAGGTGGAGGAGGCGATACAATGGAGAGCTGACCTGGAGGGAGGAAAGCAGAGAGGAGGTCAGGCATCCAGAAGAAAGAAAAGAACCTTGCCAAAGGGGACCCAAAGATGCTAAATAAAATGGTGTTAGCATTAGAATTAGAAGACAGAAAGCAAGTTTGGAAAAATGATTATTTTCTAGCAGGCAATAAAAGGAAGCTATTTTGGATATTAAAACTATTATGGATATTGATTGACAACAGACTAGCTTAGCTCAAACTTAGATTAACCTTGTAGAACCTTTTGCAAAGCCTGGAAGGCAAAAAGAAAAGTGGTTCACATTATAATTTCTTGTTATAAAGATAACTATTTACCATAGCATCAAACCAAGTAAGTATTTTATAATTTGCTTTTAACTCAATTCATCTTGACTTTGAGTTGATTGAGCTGTCCGTTGCATGTGGCTCTGCTGGCAGTGAAGTGTATGATGTGTTAGAGAATTCTCTTACTCTTTTCATTTTCCTGAGGCTAAAGATAAATCTGGTTTCTTCTAGGACCTGTATAAAGGGCTAACAGTTTGTTTGGTTTGTTTTTCTAGTTCTAAGTATTTGCAACATTAAATCTAAGGGTCTTTAAAATTTGTTTTGTGTTAGAAATTGAAAAATATCCTAATGATAAAATTTAACAAGATGCTTTACAATATTCTGAAATATATACCTTCCCATTCCATCCATTATTTTATGACAATTGAAAAACTAACTTTCTAGATCTGTCATGTAGATGCTGGAAAATTCTGAGAAATCTTGTCTTAAGGCCTTTGTACAGAGAAAACATCCGTTCAGATTTTTTGAAGTATCATTTTGTTGGACACCATATCCCAATGACTAAATGAATTGTTTACAATTAACACAATTAACAACAACAAACACATTGGAGTCTGTTGAAAAGGGGTCTTGTTACATAACTCATGGGGGCCGCATCAAAAGATTGCTCCTTCTGCCTCAGCCTCCCAATGCTGAGATTAAAGTGTTTCCAGCTACAAGTATTTTAGGAATCCTTAAGCCAAGTGATCATAGTCATAATGAGATTTTTCACTCAGGTTGATTTAAATTCTCTACAGTTTTGAATAGCTTATTTTTTCTCAATAATTATACAAATGTTTTAAATATCACATTTTGAGGAAATAAGTAAATAAATGAACAAATGAGTTTGTTGCTTTCTGTGGTGCTGGATTTGAACTCAGGACTTGAAAATCTCTGTATCCTAAGTACATGCCCAGCACCAGCTGAAATGTGTTTATTCAAGCAGGAAAATAAATCTTTTTCTTTAATAAAAACCACTAGTTAGGAAAATCCATGCCTAATATCCTTAATAGATCAATAATCATGTGCTTATTGTTACACTTATTAAGGAATATTTATATATTATAAGCTAAGAAGGAAAAGAAATAAAAATTTTAATCACAAACTCTAATGAAGCTGAGATTTTGAGACAGCCTAATGGTTTGACTGCAGAATTATTGGGAAAGGTGCCTGCAAAATTGATCAGCGACTGGAAGAATGAAGAGTAGCAACTCAGAGATATAAATTATAGTAACTGAATGTAAATTCTCCCTTCTAATTTTAGAGAAAGGTATTTGTCTGAAAACACAATGAAATGACTAATTTTGGTTTGTTTGGAGTGAAGGAGGATTACCCTATGAAGTAAAATTTACAATTCTCCTGCTTCAACTGTGAATGAAGATGTTCACCATTGTACCTGGCTTATTTGTAGTTTTAATGTATTTTCCATTATATATATACATATATACATATACATATGTATAGATATAGATATATACACTAAGCCAGGTGATGGTGGTGCATGCCTTTAATCCCAGTACTCAGAAGGCAGAGGCAAATGAATCTCTGTGAGTTCTAGCCCAGCCTGGTCTACAGAGCAAGTTCTAGGAGATCCAGGGCTACACAGAGAAGTCCATAAACACACACCCACACACCCACACACACACACACACGGGGGGGGGAGGGGACAGAGAGAGAGAGAATGAAGATAAAAAGGAAATACTATTGTAACTATTGTGCTTCATACTTCCTCAAAAGTCCTAAAAAAGTAAAATAGTAGATGCATATACATTTAAATTTTTATGAAAATTCAGTTTAATTGTCAAATTTTCTTCTGAATGATTCTGCCAGTATTTCAGTTGGTTTTAACTCAGTTGTTCTGCCAGCCTTGGGGGATATATTCTACATATATAATAAATAAGTTATTGCTCTTGCTTTTTTCTACCAAGCTGATGGTGCTTGCATAATTCCACATTTAAAACCACAGAACAAGCATATTTACAGAAGTCATTATCTTATGACTACGTTATAAAAAAACCAGTGTCATACACACCAATACAGTCACCTCCGATTTCTATTTCTCCAGGGCCACATGTGTATAATTTCACATCAGAAACAGCTGCAAAAGATTAAAGTTTGTACATTTAATAACATGACCATAAATGTGTAAATCCACATATATCTATGAACAGTTCTTGGGGAACATATCTTTGAACATGGACATAGGATTTCTTAGTTGTTCTCTCTGGGATTTTTTTCCTAAGGATTTTTTTATATTTTAAGGATATGTTCAAACAGAGATGATCGATGATCCGTACTTTCATGACTCCTTTGGACTCTGCATTAGTAAATGGTAGAGCACACTTATAAAATTCAAACTCCTGGGCTCCAGGAGTCTTTATCTCTGATAGAAACACAAAGTGGCATATTGCTTTGAAGGACAACTTGGCATTTTCATATGACACTGAACATACTCTTACCATAATGCATGTTTTTTTCTGATGTTTACCCAAAAGACTCTCAGACGGACTTCCTCAAGAAAAATGAACAGATATTTGTGAAAGTTTTAGTTGCAATTGTCCAATTTATAGGGATTTTGTGCATACAATAATTTTGGTTTATTAGCTTAGGAGATTTCTGTGACCCTTTCTCTTTCTCATGATAGAGTCACACTTATTACTTCAGGCTGTCTGGGAACATGCTATGTAACCCAGACTGACCTCAAATTCATAAACCTCATGTGACCTGAGCCTCCCAAGTGCTGGGAAGATTGACGAGTATTTCACCATAAAGCTTCTGTAATACCTTTGTCTTGTACATCTGTATTTGGTTGTTTTGAGTAACACTGGCTCCAAAGGAGCTTACATCGTCTCTCTCAGGGCTACTCTTCCTTATCATTTATCCAGAAATTTTAAAATAAAATTGTTATTATCTCCACATAATATATTTAAAACATTTCCACTCAAAATGATCTGGTTCCTGGGTGATCTTTTTGAAATTTTATTGAACTAGAAATATTACTTCCTGAATAGGATTATGACAGTTGCCTTTAAGTGATTGTGGCTGTGTACATATTTTAACTAACTTGTCAAGTTCATCTGAAGATGTCAAAGTATTAAAAGAATTGTTCATAATTATAACTTTGTTTTGGTGATCATACTATGGAATCTTTTTCCCCTGGGGTTATTTCTTTCCATTTATTTCCTTGTTTTTTGTTTTTGTTTTGTTTTGTTTTTTGTTTATTTGTTTATTTGTTTTTGACAATAGATTCTGTTCGTGTATAATCTATCCTGATTATAGTTTCCCCTTCCTCTACTCCAATTTCTGTCCCCCTTTCCCTCTCCCCTGGATCCATTTCCTTTCTGTCACTCATTAGAAAAGAACTTGCTTCTAAGAGATAATCAAACATGACAAAACAAAATGTAATAGTGAAGCAATATATATATATATATATATATATATATATATATATATATATATATATAAAAGTTGGACACAGCAACTCAACAAGAAGTAAAGAGCCCCATGAGCAGACACAAGAGTCAGAACCCCACTCAGAGGGGTCTCACAGACAGGAGTTTCATAAATATTAGCTATTAGCTGTAATATATACATAGAAAACCTGGTACAGACCTGTGCAGGCCCTGTGCTTGCTGCCTCAGTTTCTATGAGCTCATGTGCACCTTGATTAGTTGACTCAAAGGGCCTTGTTTTAGTGGCATCCCTAATATGCTCTCCCTGAGCCCCCACATGTGTGTTCCTAGAGACTCGATCAATGCCTTTCAGCATGCTAATCATATGTTTGCCCTGCATAGCTGCTCTGCATGACTGGTCCCAGTGTGTTCTTTTCTAAACCAAAGTTATGGATAAAGAACTACAACTTTGATCATAAGATGAAAAAATTGAACAGAATAGAAATCAATAAATATAATTCATATAAATGGCAAAAATTTTAATGAATCAAATCTAGTTCTTGAGTAGTTCAATGAAAATCTGAGCTAGGTCCTCTGCATATGTGACATAGTTGTTTGTATACCTTGGTGTTCTTGTGGGACACCTAACAGTGTGGAGGGGAGCTATCTGACTCTGTGGTAGTTGAAATGTATTTGGCCCCCATAAACTCATAAGGAATGGCACTACTAGAAGGTATGGTCTTATTGGAGGAATTGTGGTCTTTTTGCAGGAAGCTGGATGAAACATGCCTTTAGTCCAGATCTTGAGGCTGCAGGGTACACCTTGAATTTGGGCCACACCTTCTTTTGAAAGTGTGTCACTGTGGGAGTGGGCTTTGGGATATTTTTCTCAAGCTTCACTAAATGTGACAGACAGTTGAGTGCCTGTTGTCTCTGACTCAAGATATAGTACTCACAGGTCCAGCACCACATCTGCCTTCATGCAGCCATGCTCTCCTCATGATCATAATGAACTGAACCTCTGAAACTGTAAGCAAGCCACACTCAATTAATGGGTTTGTTTGTAAGAGTTACCATGGCCATGGTGTCTCTTCACAGCAATAGAAACCCTAACTAAGACTTTTTCCGAGGGGTTTGTCTAATCTTGTTGCAACTTGATATACCATTTTTGGTTGATATCCATGGGATGCTGCCCATTTCTGAAGGAAAATAGAGGAGGAGTGGATCAGGAGAAAAGGGAAGGTTGAAGGATGGACTGGGTGGAGAGAAAGGAAGGGAAATTGTAGTGGGAATATAATATATTAGAGAAGGATAAATATTATTTTTGCATTGTTAAAAATATTTAGTTTAAAATAGTTTTATATTCACACACACACAAAAAAAAGTTTTAACACAAAACATTCCCATATACATCTCTGAACCATCTTCTGCAAAAGTTGATGCACTATAAGACCAGGATGTATTTGTCAAAATTAGGAAGCTGATCTTAGAACTACTTTAGTCAAAAAACAAACACAATTTCCTCCACTGATGCCATCTTCTGGGCCAATGTCCATTCCAGGAAATCACAGCCCATCACTCAGAATGTTTTTCTCCACTCTATGACAGTTTCTTATTCTTTTCTGTGTTTTTTCTTGCTCTTCTTACTTCTGTAACATATTACTCATGAGTTCTCTAGAATGTTGTTTAATCTGGGATCATATAACTTTTCTCATGATTAGGCTGAAGAACTGGCCTCAGGGAAAGATTAAGACATTTGGCCTCCTTTCTACAAGCTCACAGATAATACATGATTCCCCATGTTGTGATGCATGATACCCTACTATCATGGATCAGATATAGCATCTACCAGTCCTCTTCCCTGAGAAACCACTATTGTTTTTCCCCTCCCATACACTATTAGTTGCAAGCAAGTTCTGAAGCACAGACAACAATTTAAAAAGTAGAGAAAAATCCAGGTGCCACAGAAGCTACAAATGTTGTTTGATTTTGTTTTTGTTTGTTTGTTCTTGTTTTATAGTTTTTGTTAAATACTATGTAGTAATATACATGCAAGTGCATGACAATCATGACTGCCAACTCTTCTTTAGGGGCGCTTTGCATGTGAAATGCACAGCTATTTATTCCCTTCTTTGAGAGTTACATGTAGCTTATTTTCATGACTTGTTTGAGGCATTCCACTAGAGAAAACAATACTCTTATATTTTGATCCTTATAGTAACAAGTAGCAGGGTTTAACATAAATTCTGGCTCTGTACAAATGCTCACTAAGCTTTTCTAATTAAAAGTAAAACAATGCTGAAGTCAAAATGTTTACACATTTGCTTACTGTCTGTCCTGTCTTAATTACACCGGGGGAGGAGGCAAGAAGAAACCAAGCTTCTTAAGCCATCTGGCCATCATGTGCTTTAATACTCCCACAGCAAAATAAACTTTTGAGCATTTTAAGAGACTGATAAATATCTTAAAACAAAGTTAGGTCCAGGTAGCAACAATGACAGACCCAATCTCCTGACATTAGCTCAGCACAACCTGTTCAGAGTACAAATGCACTCACATATATTCCACAATTAACAGTTCAAAGTATTACTGATGCTTTCTTACCTTCAGCACAGTAGCCCATGCATCCCTGAGTGGGTTGGAGCAAGTATACAAAAAAGTCTCCACAGTTTCTGACAAGCACAGGGACTTGAAAGAGACAGCAGTCCTTTTCAATGCTAAAAAGAAGTTGCCAAGTGGCACAACCTGTCAGTTGCTTGATCTCTCCAGGAAGAGGCAGCGTTTCTGAATCACTAAGAGACAGCCAGACGGGGGCCTGAGTTCCACAGTGGTTCATCTTTTATATCAGAGAAAATAAAAGTTGGAAATACAATTAATGTCATACAAATACAAAGACTTTACATTTTTAAGAATCTTCAGACCTACTATAATCTTCAAAACAGTAAATTGTCAATTAGTTTTAAATTTTAAATAAACTGGGGCTGGAGATGTGGCTCTGTAATTAAGGCACAATCTGTTCTCCCAGAACCTAGATTTGGATCCCAGTATCAACACTCTGACTCATAACATTTCTCAACTCCAGGTCCAGTGGAACAATCACCTTTTTGTCTGGCTTCTCTTGGAACAAAGCCTGAGTGTTGTATAAGTATATACATAGACGCAAAACACTTATACACATAAATAAATATTTAAAAAAAACTCAAACACCTTACATATCTACTGCACAAGAAAGTAAATCTAAAGAACGCTAAATTAATATAATGTCAGTTAATACTAATGTAACCTGTTCAATGTAAATATTTTTATTTTACATTTGTATCAGAAATGAGCAATTCAGCTGCAGATAATTTACTAAGACAGTGGACACATCATAATACAAGATAAGTTGAACTGAAATTATATTAATATGTAGCACAGATACCAAAAGATCTCAGAGATATTTGCACAATTGATAGAGACAATGTATATTTGATATCAATTTAGAGTCAATATGCAACAAAAATCAGTGGAGAAAGAAGAAAGGTGTTATTTATAGTCTGATATAGAAAAATTACTTAGCAACTTGGAAAGATGGAATTAAAATTTTTGTTTGAGGCCTACTATCAACATTATTTCCAGGTAGAAAAATGTAATTAAGCAGGAACAAAAGGAAAAATTTTGAGAAGATCCAAAAAAGCACATGACTTTGGACAAGGTTCCCAGCATCCTTCTCTGGTAGTATGCAGACAATGGTGCTCAAAAGCTCAGCTAAAATGGAGATGGAAATGCTACACCTGGGCAGGGATAACCAAGAATCACTGTCCAGGGTGCAGTCATTAATCTTGTTATTTCCATGTTTAAAAGCAAAGGAAACTTTTAAAGGAGAGACTGATACATACAATTAAATAATAATCATAAAATATAAATAAGAATTAAAAGGGGAAACTACTTATGAGTAGTATTTTTGATATATATTTATTATTTTTTTCTTATTTTACATATTGATCCCAGTTCTCTCTCCCTCCCTCTCTCCCTCCCTTCCTTCCTCTCTCCCATACTCCCCCCCACCTCCCTCTTCTGTCCCATTCCCCTCCCACTCCACAGGGAGGGTGATGCCTACCAGGAGGGAACATCAAAATCTGTCAAGTCATTTGGAGTAGAGTCTAGGCGCTCCTTCCTGCCTCTAGCTTAAGGGAGTATCCCTCCATCGGGAATGTGCTCCCAAAGCCCTTTTATGCACCAGGGATGCAGTGAGTAGTATTTTTTAGTATGCTATTATTTTTTTTACATTAGTGTATTTATTTTATTTTATTCAGGTTATTTATTTACCTACAAGTGCTAATGCCAGAAATTCATAATTCTCAGAAGAAATACAAATGTCTAATAGATGTGTGAGAATATTCATTATCAAGAGATGTATTTTTATCTACTGCTATAATAATAAAAATTATCATTATGTTTCTAATAGCCTAAATATATGTTCTATAGCCTTAGTTGCTGAGTTTCAGGAAAAAAACAAGGGCATCCATTTCAAGCTTACAATACTATAAGGTTCTAGAATCAACTAATTGAGCAAAAGGAAGAAAACATAAATACTTAAGAATGTTGTGATTTCCCCCAATTTTTTTCTCAAGCTTTAATTTTAAATTCTAATGGCTTTTAGTTTCCTCCCAATAAAATGTCACAAAAGTAACTTTTTAAAATTATAAACAAACAAAAAAAGGGAAAGAAAATAGGACAGCCATGAAAAAAGTTAACATTAAGTATTGTTATGATTGAATATTTTTCTGAGTGTGTTTACATTAGTGTTGAGAAAGGAAAACCCCTCCAAATAAGATAAACAAATATTCTGCTAAGACCTGTTATATATATATATATATATATATATATATATATATATATAAAATTCTCTCTGAAAGTTTTAAATATAGTTTTGTGTCTTCTAGTTTAAAAACTAAGAATAGCCTTTATGGTAGCCTTTCCACTGTTGCTCAGATTGTTAGTTGTGCTCATCCTTGTAGGTCTCTGAACATTTCTCTAGAGTCAGTTTTTCCTTCAAACCTATAATGGTCCCCTCCTTTATGGTCTCTCTCTCTCTCTCTCTCTCTCTCTCTCTCTCTCTCTCTCTCTCTCTCTCTTTCTCATCTATTCCTCCCCAACTCAATCTTCCTAGTCCCACATGTTTTCCTTTCCTCCCCACTCTTTCTCCTAGTTCCCTTGAGGCATGAGGGAGGACCTAGTCCCTACTCCAAATGACTTGACAGATTTTGATGACCCCTCCTGGAAGGCATCACCCTACCTGTGGAGTTAGGGGGTGGGATGGGATGGGAGTGTGGTTGGGGGCATTGGAGAGATGGAGGGAGGAAGAGAGGGAGGGAGGGAGGGAGGGAGGGAAGAGGGAACTGGAATTGATATGTAAAAATAAGAAAAAAAATAAATAAAAACTAAGACTAGTCCAATACAGAGTGACACAGGTCACAGTCTTTTGTGATGATTATCAGCTTGAACATATTTCTTGAAGGTCACAATACTAAGTACAAAGCTACATATTTCAACCAAAAACTACATATGCCCAGACAGTCCTCAGAACCCTCCATTGAGCTATATGGAGGTTTGTGATAAGGCAAGGGACTCATGCTGTGACAATATTGCATGTTATTCTGCCCCTAATGCTAATGACTTTGGTTACAAGATCCAAACTCTTTGTCCCCAGCCAGGTTTTTTTTTTTTTTTTTTTTTTTTTTTTTTTTTTAAAAATAAGGAATTGCCTTGGCTACCACAAGGTCTCCCTGTGAAATCAAGTGAGGCTACATATCTACAATACCCACTGTGAAGGACCATATTAATCGCCACATAAATGTCATGTCTAAATACTTCATCATCATTTTCATACCACAAACAGGTTCTGAAGTAGTGGATATTTACAATATTTATGCTTATTTCATAGATTATGTGGACAAGATCATAATTGCAATGACAGGGACTGACTGAACTATGAACTGGCCATAAGTAATGAGTAACATTCCAGTAGATCACAGTACTGAGAAGGCAGACACAGAAAGATCCCTGGGGCTTTCTGATCAGCCAGTCTAGCCTCATTTGGTGGGGTCCTGATTCAGTGACAGATCCTGTGTCATAAACTAAGTGGAAAACAATTGAAGAAGGCATCCAGTATCAACTTCTGGCTTCTGCAATGTGCACACGCACACACACACACACACACACACACACACACACACACACACACACACACCACAAATAACATATGTTGCACTGAAAAACACTGAAATTTCACTGACACTCTGAGTTTTCTTCAGTTGTGGAATAGAAAGTGAGGGGCTTTTAAGTTCTGAGATATTGGAGTCCATAGTTAAGGAAGGGAATTCCAGGTAACAACTGAAGCAAAAATTCAACAGTATTGCTCAGTGGCAGTTTCCTTGCTGTTATATATCTGGGCCTATGTTCAAAATTTGACTCCTTGGCCTGCTAATGGAGCAACCAGGAGACTTATGCATAGGACTATATGTGTTGCACATACTTGGACAAAGAATGATTTCTATTACATTTTATTTTACAATTGGGGAAATTATCTAAAATATTATAGTTCAAAACACTCATGGTGTATCATAGCCATTACCATTGAACTAGGTATTATAGAAATATTTCAAATTAAGTTAATCTACTAAAAATGTAGATAACACTTCAGTAAGGGAAAAAAATGTACCTCAACACATTTGGTTGGCATTTCAGCAGGTCTGTCAAAGATGAGAAATCGGTACCATCCAGGGGTGAGAGAATAGTCACAGATCAGGTCTTGAGCAGCTGACTGCTGGGAATACACCGACTCAAAGTGAACACTCCTGTAAGGACTCTGAAGAAACTGGTGGCCACCAGGAGAGCACTCTGGAGCTAGATGGAAAGAGGAGACTTTTCATGCCATGTGCTTTGTTTGCCAGCATAGTTAGGTCTTCGGTTAAAAGTTGGTTCTCTTTCCCCATAAAAAGCAAATAAACTCACTATTGTGCGCATGCGCGCGCACACACAAAACATCAAAATGTCAGGGACTCTGGCAAGTCAAAGATGACTTAGCTTGCACTTTCTAGAGATGCAACAAGCAACTCAAGACCTGTCACGGAGCAAGCTTGAGACACTTATCATTGGGATGCTTATTTTCATTTGACTTGAACACAGAGAGTAACAGAGCTGAATGCTCTTGAGCTAAAATGTGTTAACCATGACCAAAAGTCACCAATCCCAAAAAGGATTCCTCTTGGGTCTAGTCCTCTAGATTTCAATGTCAATACTGGCTTTCCTCAAACAAATTCTCTCTAAAGTAGGCACTAAAATCCTACCTCTGCTAGATAGCAGAATGCAATATCCTCAACTATTTTTTTAATAACATTCTTATCTTTGTAGTTGTTGAAGTGCCTGCTTACCTAAGTTTCCTGTATTTACTACAAGAGTTTAGATTCAGTACAAGGGACTTGCTCCTCCATAGATAAACATTTTCTAGGAAGAATTTCACCTCTATGATTCCAATAGCTTTGGTAATTACCATAATATTAATGATAAATATTTTATTAAGTATATGTACCATCATTGCATATAATTTTAAAAGAATTGTAATAGCTCTCATTGTAAGAACACTATACATGATTAAAAATTAAAGATGGTGTGTTGAAGGATATTAGTACTGGAATTAACATGAATTACTGAAATATTTTTGCTGATTGATTATCTGTGATATAATTTTCTTAGGAAAACTCAGTAAGTTCATTTTCTTTCTCATGTACATGGATATTTGATTTGTGTATGCATGTTTGCATTTGTGTTCAGGTGTGTTTGTAGTGTATTTTCATGGGTCCTGAGCATCTGAACACAGGTCTTAACTCTGACATAGGAAGTGTTCTAACCACTAAGCAATTTTCCTACCTCATAAGTCTATTTTAATTCTATATATAATTTCTCCTTCAGTATCTTTACAGTCCTCATATTTCTTCTTATGTTTCCTTAATTAATATTCTCTAATCCAAAGCAGCAGGAGAATTAATTGCAGGGGACATTACTATGTGACATTACCAATATTGGAGGAGTGTATAATACTTAAAAGAGAAATTTGTTTCATTTATTTTATTTTATTGAGAAATTCGTAGCAAATAGAATTAGCAGTAGTTTCTATTTTTAGCTCATTTCATAATTTCTTTCCTAAAAATATACTTGTCTCTTAGAGAATGTGAAGTAGAAAGTTTAAAATACATTAGTAATGAAAAAGCCACCCTGTAAAAACCTTAGTCCAGCATTGGTCAAGAATACACCCACAGGTAAGCAAGCATTGTAGTGATTTCTAGGCTCGCACAAAGGACAAGCTTATATCTGTCAAGTACTGAGTGAATAGCATTACAAATCCTTCATAGTGATCAGTGTCACACTTGACACTCTCTCTAGAAAAGCCTTAGTATATTTCCCTGAAAACAGACATTCATATAAATTTACACTCCTGTTTGTCATATACTTCCTGGTGTAATTTAAATCAACTAAGCAACTTGTAACAAGATCTTCAATACTGTTTTTCACACACTTTGAGAGAATGTGCCAGGGTATAAATGATAGCCACACAGTGACAGAATATGCAAATGGACTTTCCATATATTTGTTATTTATGGTATGTTGTTTTCTGGCTTACTACAAAGGCAATATCATAGTTATCTAAAGCTGAGAGTCAGTTCATAAATATGTGAAGACACTAATTAAATGGAAATCAAACTTCATTTAAAATTAAACTCGTGTGGTGGTACATGCCATTTGGTGGTGCATACCTCTAAACCCCAATGTGCTGAAGACAAGAAGCAAGGGAGTAAGAGGTTTAGGAAAGCATGGGCTATATAGCAAAACTTGGCCGACCATAAAACAAAAACTGCTTGTGTACTCCAAAACATACAGAAATCAAAAGGACAGTGCACTGGACATAATGGGAAAAATAACTACATATCATATAGGTGTTAAGAGTGCAAGATATGCAAAGAACTCATATAAGTCAGAATAAAGGCCAAGACCTTAATTTATTATTATTTTCAGAAGAAAAGATCTAAGTAGGGCTCATCCCAAAGAACATATGGAAAGGTCAATATACAAATGAATAAGACATGCTTAAAGCATTAACTAAGGAAATTCAAATCAAGCCATAATAAAATATACCATCTGACATCCACTATGGTGGCTAAAATCAAGATGCCAGATAATGGCAAGTGTTTGCAGGTACATGAATGAATTGAAGCCTTCAAATGCTATAGGAAAAGAAAAATAGTGCGGCACTAACTTTTCTGAAACTGGTTAATCATAGCTGACTTCTGGATCCAGCAAATCTCCTTCTAATTAAAAATAAAAACATGTGTTCATATAAACATTTGCACAGAGATGTCCATAGCAGCATTACCTGTGAGAGCGGAAAGACAGAAGCAACACAGATCCACCAATCAAAAAGTGCACATACAAAATCTACTGTCTCCTTACAGTGGAATGTTCTTCAATCATAAAAAACAAATGAACGTTCTCACCCATACTGTATCATGGTAGATCTTTAAAACATTATATTATGTGAAAAATGATATCTGTAATATGATCCTGTTTATATAACATACATAGAGTAGGCAAATACCTAAAACAGAAAGCAAAATAGTGATAGCCCTTGACTGGGGAGAAAGGAGGATGGGGATAATAGCTTTGATATCAAAAGACACAATTTTTGGTTTTGATTCTAAACTTGACTATAGCTGTACATATCTGTGGATAGGTGGACTTTAGGTGGATACAGTGCACTTTAGGTGAGTGCTGGGAATAGTATAGGAGCCCTCCAAATAGATTTATGTGATTTACAGTAAACTGAGAAGCATTTTTCTAACTATTTGAATATAGTCATAAGTATTCTTACAAGCCTTTTCGGGCTGCATGTTTAGTACTTATAATACATGAGTTTTAAAAGTTCTTTATAGCATTTATTCTTTGGGTTAAGAAAGATAAGGGAGAAGGAAAAGGTGACTGAATAACAGGCTTGCACATGCCTACAAGGAATAGATTCTAATGCTCTACAGCACAATTAAGATGTCTACAACTGACAAATATGTCTTATATGCTTTATAAAGAACTAGAAAGAAAAGGATTCAAATATTCTCAATAACAATCCTAATAGCAGCTTTTACAGAGACAGTAATTTCTGGATTCATAGACTCAATTGCACAGTTCTGTGCCTGTGAATATGTACAACAACCCTGTTAATTTAAGAAAAGCCTTTTCTGAACACCTGCTAAATTCAAGCAAACATAGGAAGTCACAGATGAATGACACCTACTTAAGGAAATGCATTTCCAGAAATAAATTGAGTGTTGATGATCTGTTTAAAAAGAAATGGGAAAATATCTCCTTTTCCCTCACCGCTGCTCCTTCGGATTAAATTTATGCTAATAAAATGCTCAATATTGACATGATGATGCAACGGCAATTTTATCTTCAACCTTTAGAGATATTGCACATGTCTTTTCTTCAAGCTGCGGATGGCTGTATGCGTCATTTACTTCTCAAAAAGAATAGGTAACTTACAAGACCAAGTGACCTTTGGTTTAATATTCTTAACAGTATGAGCACAAAGAAGTGCAGAAATGCTAAGGGATGTAGCTCTGCCTTGTGTCATTAATGTCACTCTACTGTACACTTTTCTGTCATGGTTTGAAGCGGAATAGGGTGTTCTTCCCGTCATGTTCACTTTCGCATCAGAAAACTGACTGTACCAGATGATGGGAAAGTTAGCAGACACAAAACTAGCCCAGAAGCTTATGTGGAGATGCGACTTTCACCAATTGTTTCCAGAGGTGGCCTGGGACTGGAGATCATTAGTTTATAACTAATTCGGATCCACTTTCCTGTGCAGTACCCCGCAGATTCGGCAAACGTTCTTACAGCAAATTAAACGGAATTTAAATATCAGGAGAGCCTCAGGGAATAAAACAAAAGAAAACAGGACCAAGGGGTTTCGGGAAGAGGAGGCTCCTGCAGCCTGAGCGTAAAAGTAAATGCAAGGAGCAATTGGCTGTGAAAGCAAACGAGATGGTGCCAGGTCAGAGGCACGCCGCTGAATCAGCAGAAAAGCAGGTCCTCCAGGCAGCCTCTGTGCTACCCTTTCCAGCCACCTACCTTGCTGGCCTTCCCCCAGGACCAGGAACATCAGCCCAGTCACTAGTGGTGCCCAGGTTCCGCCCGGCATCACGTGCTTCCCAGCGCGTCTCACAAATGGGAAAACCTGGCCACAGACCTCTGCTCACTATACTTTCTTAAAGTCTGTTCCTGCTCGGCGTTCAGGGGAGCTGAGAGTTCTATGTCCGGAGAAAGCCAGTCAGACTTTCTACCAGAGACTTTGGCTCCCTTGCCAGCCCCAGACTCCTCCCCCATTACCCTAGCTACCCTCCTCTCCTAAAGCCACGCCCAAACTGTCCCTGGGAACTGGAGCATCCCCCAAGGCCACTGATGTCCCTTCACCTAGGATGTCACCTGCATTACCATAACCTGCCAGGATTTCTGGGATGTAGCTCTGACACAGGGTTTTGCTGACCTAACAAATACTGGGAAATTCCTCCACAATGTGCACGCTCCAAGAAGTCTAGACTGTTCTCTGGGGTCTGGTATAGATTTTGTTTTATTTTTGTTCTTTGCCTTCAGGGTGCCAAAACTTTACTCAGGTTGCCTTTGAACTCACAATCCTCCTGATTTTAAGATACAGTCTCTCACTAGCATAGAGCACACCAAACAGGCTAGGGTGGCAATCGAGGTCCAGGAGTTCTGGCCAGTGCTATGATTACAGGAAGGCTTCCTTGAATGAGTTCAGAAGATTGACATCAAATTCTTATTGCAGGACAAGCATTTTGCTACCTGAACTATCTCCTCTGACAGGGTAGGTGCATTATTAATCTTCTAGCTGTATCTGCTGCTTTACTTTGCTCCTTCAAGCACACCTGTTTCCCAGAACATGTCCTTGTCACCTTTGGACTCACCAATGTGAACTGGGGGACAGGGAGGATAGAGCAATGTAGTGAAACACCATTGCATGGTGCCAGGATTTGTGACCTGAGAGACTGATGAACACTGGAACTGGCTTAATTGCCTAGTCCTGACCCAGGATTCTTTAGCAAATGGCCACATAAGCTTCCTGCTTGCTCTGAGAATGGCTTTCCATCCTTTGAGTTATCAGATGTGTAGATGCCTCTGAGAGGGTGGAAAAAAGCAGACTCTTAGGTAATTGTGTGTGTGTGTGTGTGTGTGTGTGTGTGTGTGTGTGTGTTTGTGGTGTGTGTGTATGAGTTGTGTGTGTATGTCTGTGTGCTTGTGTGTATGTGTATAACTGTGTGTGCATATATGTATCTGTGTGTATGTGTGTGTGTGTTTGTGCCCTGAGTGTATATATTTGTGTACATGTGTGTTATTGTGTGTGCATATGTACATGTGCATGTGTGTGTTTAACTGTTTAAATGTATGTTTGTTAATATTTTAAAATAAATCCTCCAGAGATTTTGTCGGGAAGGCTGAGACTCAGGGGTCCCTCGTCCACCACCTAGGACTTTACCCTGACAAGCATTTTTCTGAGGAGAAAAGAGAAGCTGTTCCTGGAGGGACATGCTGGACACCAGGTTTAAATCACATTCTCCCTAAAGGACTATATAGTCATGGTGGTTCTAGATGTGGAAAACAAAAGATGCCACAAACATTAAGAAATTTTGTTTTAAATGGTATACTCCTTTTTTAAATATATAAATTTGAAAGAAAAATTATCTTTAAAATGTTTATGGCATTTCTCAAAATTGAAGAATTAACCTTTGGGAAATAAGTTCTCTTTGGCACACCAAACTTACTTATAAGTTCTTTTTCTTTGCCAAAAGGAAACCCAATCTTACAAAATAAAACATAAAACTTAACCTCTTACTTAATCTACTATGATTTGCATGTTAAGTCTTAATATAGGTAGAAAAAAATCAGAGATTTCTTAATTTGTGATGTTTGTTATTATTTTACTTTATAAATAAAATTGAGAAAGAAAAACAAATCATCAGTCATCTGTTTTTTTTTTTTTTTAAGCTTCACGGGTAATGTAATAAATGTAACCAGAATCAAATCATATCCAGTGTTTTGTAAATTAAGTTAGAAATATCTGTAAAATAAAACCTGATATTTTCTTTATATTAAAAAACCACTTATATGATTTCCAGAAAACATACAGTTCACAGCACAGTCCGTCTTTATTTTCATCTCAGTAAAAGATTTACAGCTGTCAGTCTGTTAGTTTACAATAGGCCTGTACCAAAAACCATTACTCTCCAATTAAATGAGCTAGCATGTAATATATATATGTGTGTGTGTGTGTGTGTGTGTGTGTGTGTGTGTGTAAAGAAAGAAAGCAAAGAGCAATAAAATGTTTTGTCATGTGTCATTACAATTTAGTATAAGATTCAATTTCTTATAGATTTATTGTTGAAAGGATGAAAAATAATGTGAGTATGATACCCTCATCAATACCAATCATCACTGAGAAATAAAAACTAAAAGGCAGACTTGCACAATAACTGTGGGAGTGCAGGACACCTGGGTTCTCATTCCAGGTCTGATACACACTTCTTGTCTTTGTGGCATTAAACATCATGCCCACGTCCACTTCACTTCCTTTTCTTCCATACAACAAGAAGAAAAATCATACCACATAGAATTTAAGAATGAAAAGAGTATGTGTGTGTGTGCAGGGGTGGGAGGAATGGGTATTTTGACTAGCACCTGGTTCAAAGCAGCTATTATGATAATTTACTGTTATTAAAACAATGGATAAAAACCTATGTAATTATGTCTCCCTTTATCTCTTATTATATAAAGGTATGTAGTTTCTCTTTATTACACTACTATAGTATACTGCATTATTCAGACACAGTGAAAAAAATCACATTTGTATAATACAAATTCCACATGTTTTACTAAATAAGAGCACTCTAGCTTATTTTTTTAAAAACCAAAAGTCATGTTAGCACAGTACTGACAAAACAAAGATGAAAGATTCTCTTTCCCAAACATAAAAAATGATACAGCTACTTGTGAGGTTTACTGCAGTTGAACCTCCAGCGCTCAAAAGCAGACATGAAGGGGTATTTACTCTGGGAGTGGTCAAATACTAAGGGCTGTGGAGAGAAGAAAGAGCACAGTGAATGCTCAAAGAGAACAAAAGAAGAGGGCGGGCATGCCAGGATGATAACCGGGAAAGAACACTCTCCTGCACAAAGATGAGAAGGGCACACAGTGCAAGAAAGAGGAAAACAACAGAATCAGAACAACACAGAGGCAGAGAACACTTCATAATTCCTTGGAGCATCCCTCTCCATCATTCTGTGATATCCCCCATATGTTGTCCAGGAACTTGGTTGTGAGTTTAAGGATTGTAGTAATTTGAATGTCCCCATAAGTTCATAGGGATTGGCACTATTAGGAAGTGTGGCTTTGTTGGAGGTAGTGTGTCACTGTAGAGGTGGGATTTAAGGCCAACCTCAACCCAGTGACACAGACCACTTCCTGTTGCCTGTGGGTCAAGATGTAGGACTCTGGGCTCCTTCTTCAGCACCATGTCTGTCTGCCTGAATGCCACCATGTTGCACCGTAGTGATGATGGATTAAACCTCTGCAAATGTTAAGTCACTCCAATTAAATGTTTTTCGTTTATAATAGTTACCTTTGTCAAAGTGTCTCCTCACAACCATAGAAACCCTAACTAAGACAAATATTTTGTTTGTGTTACTATTCTTTACCCTAAAAAAAATGTTGGAAGTCAGGAGAAAATATAAATGATGCAAACAAATAATTGTATCATTTATATTCTGTTACTCTTACTTTTGTTAGTGAAGGAATGAGAAAATTTTATCATGTTTTATATTTAAAGTCATCTGTGGAGGGTCAGTTATCAGGCCACATAGGAAATATCCAAACAAATACTTTCAGAGACAAAAAGGTTGGGACTTTACAGAGTAAACTGTGATGGTCATAAATTAGTATAATGTTAGTATAGTAAGTTTATTATTAATAATGGTATTATAGTCAATTGTAAAGAGGGTAACTGAAATACTACAGGAGAGATGGTATGCATTCAAGGGCCATCTACAAGACAGAGGAGGAGGGTGTCCTCTTAGTCCTTTCCCCACATTTAAAGCCATTCCTCTTTGTTAATTCCTTAAAAATTAATGAGAAAAATGTGGATGAATAAAAAGAAAACCAGCTTTATTCCATTAAAATATATTAATGAAGAAAAGCAGTTGGTAACTAAAAAGAGAATGCTGCACTCGAATCTGCAGCATAAAATGTTTCAGTCATGATATTCCCCTTTCATGTAGATGTAAAATTATGCAATGATTGTTTTTAAAAGGAAAAAGCTAAAGCCATTCACTTGCTCACCTGAAATCTTCTATTTGGATCCTCTTTTGATTTTTCCTGCTTAGGAAAATGGAATACTTGCTGTTTCTCGTCACAGACTAGGATGACTCAGTCACTCGCACCTTCACACTATGTTTAGCCCTTGAGAAGGTACGAAACTTAAAGGTATATAATGCTCTGTTGCTCCACTGGTCCAGGACACCCCCTACAATCCCATGGAACTGCTATGGGAAACATCACCCTTGGGTGTTAACTAGGTGTGGGGCAAGTATGTCAGTTTTACAATGAAAAGAAAACTAAGTATTTATTCTATATCCTGGACATTTTTCTTCCACAGAGTATATTTCATGCAGTAGGAAACAGGGGTCTTCATGCCTGCATCTCTAGTGAAAATGCATCTACATTTTAGAAAATTTATTTTAAACACACACAAACAAATACACACACACAAATATATATGAACATGCATGTGTGTATGAGAAAGAGAGAGGGAGATGGTGATATTAGCATTCATGGTGAGCCTGCCTTGTTAAGTAATGCTGGGGTTCAAACTCAAGTCTTCAAGATTATGCAACAAGGTCTCTTAACTGCTGGTCAGTCTTTGTAGCCCCTAACATAAAGATCATTTTAAGACTAGCACATTCTTTATCAGCTTAGACACATGGGGAAGAGCCTAGGCCCTGCTCCAGATGATAAGACAGACTTTGAAGACTCCCATGGAAGGTCTCATCCTCCCTGGGGAGCAGAAAGGGCATAGGATAGGGTGTTGGTGGAGGGCAGGTAAGGCAGGGAGGAAGAGGGAACTGGGATTAA